GGTCCAGCCAACTGTTTTATGACTTTTATCATGTCATCTTTCCTTTTGGACCCATTAATTCCTTTCATGCCTGTTACTATTTAAAAATGATACAACACTCTCACTAAATCTCAGCACATCTACTTTTCTTATAAAATAGCATAGCCACAACTCCTTTCCTATGTATTGATAAGTGCTCAAATTAAGGTGGGACGGTGGGAGTAAATCATCAACCAGACCACCAATCAATAGAGAAAAGAAGACACTATTAAACGACATCAAAAACTGAAAAATTTGTGATTTGTGCTAACAAACGGACTTACAAGGCAAACAAGTTAGCCCAAGATAAGTATGCATAAATTTAAAGTTTTGCACGAGAAATCTTCAATTCTTCATGCAAAAAGTCCTAGAATCAGAAACTGTATTTCATGAATGTTGTATCACCCCACTCTTGAGTCCAACATTAGAATGGTATGTACCCTCGTGTCTAACACTTCAATATGTTTTGTACAAGAATTTAGAAAATTTTACAAGCCGATTTCCAAAGACAAGCATCTAACACTAACCAGGCAATCTAGGCGAGCATTTATAGTTTCAATATCTTTCAGAGGCTGCAGAAGATTAGCACGAAGTAATCTAGTGCTGAAAAGAATACACAACGTAAGAGCAGATAACAGGAAAATAATAGAAGTTCATGATTAAATTGTATGTATATAATGAAAATGCATGAGATCTTTTGAACTTCGGAGATGAAGGAACAGCCAATATTGTCTTTTTACCCAATATTGAATTCATACCTCTCTCTTTCACTTGCACAGTAATAAAATTCTTTTAGCAGAAAACTATATCATAATTGATTAATAATCAAGATTCAAATAAGTAATCAACGCATAAATAATTCCTACAGGAAAAGAGCTCTCTAATTAGCTAACCATGCTAGACTTTTGAGCTACAGATTCATAATCCTTTTCAGATCCATGCTTCACGGAAGACATAGGTCGCTGCCTTGAACATATATTAAACATGATAGACTGGAAGTAAAGCAATAGTAGCAGTTCTACAGTCTATTAAATCTATCATTTTCTGATCTATAGATAAGAAATCAGTGCAAGTAACATGATAAGAGATTGTAAGTCAGTCAATAGTAGCAGTTCTGCAGTTTATTAAATCTATTTTCTGATCATCTACAAAACATCAACTTGCAGTTAAAAGTAGAAAGTCCTAGAATTTTTACAATTAATATAAAAAGGGGAAATTGGGGAAAAAAAGTTGATAGATTATCAGACACTGAATGGACCAGCAAAATTATTGAAAGCATACCCCCCTGTGGTTCTTGTTGTTTTAAGCATATGGAAGATACTTTTCTTCTTGTTATTTGTGCCCCAAAGATTGGAATGCAATGGCTCGATGAGTTCCAAGTTTTGCACACTGTAAAAAGAAGCAAGAAATTAATGTTTCTAATGACATTAATTTCAGCATAAAAGGGCAGTGCCAACAGACATTCATTAGATGAAATTAATCTTTGAAACCATGATTGATAGATAGAATGCTCTTGATCAGAGTCTAAAAAACAAATGTTCATCCCCTACAGCCTTGCCTTTTGCAGTTAGCTCCCAGACATAGAGTACTGAGACACTCAGGAAGCCTTTGAGGAATCAGTCAATGTCGGTAATTTATATAGCTTCATTAAAATTGCAGAGATCAGCGACGGCCATCCCAATTAGTTAGATGTTCATGTATAGTCAATGTAGCTATTAATGATGTATGTGGCTATGTGCACTGCCTATCATAACAAGGAATGAAGTTCTAGAGATTCAAGAAGGTACCTAGTAGCATCAATATTCATATGATCAAAGGACCCATTAAAAGTGACCTGAAAAGTTAGAAGGATGTGAAAGTTGAGATTATCCACAACTAATGAGGAAGCTGAACTGTGAGTGGAATGCAATATTGTGAAGCATTGAAAAAGAAAGAAAATTTTGCCCATCACCGATGAATCGAAACAGACTCTAGGAGTATTAAGTGTTGATCCTTTCTTAACTTTTGACTGTTTGATATGTCCAAAGGTCGAAGAGAATTATATGGAAAAAAGCAAAAGGTTGGATTCTCTTGAACAGAGATATGAAATTGATTTGTGCTATAATTATGACGAAGTAAAAAAAAAAAAAAAAAAAACAAGAAAAAAAAAAGGGAAGTAGAACATAGCATAAAGAAAGCGAGGCATACCAGTAATGAATGATTAGTTATAACAACCCCTTTTTCTGCCTCAGTCCTGCATATCATCAATATATAATTAATAATGCATGACTTAACCCTTTCGAAAGAACATCAATTCGTATAAATGCGTGAACAAACAGTTGTAAATGTTCCATATCAACAGCTTATTCACAGCAATCTTAGGTTCCTTCAAAAACACATTACAAGTCTCCAGGATAATGATTGTTATTAATATAAGAAAATTGGATGATTAGATACTTTGATATTTTGATTTGATTATTGAAGAAACTATAAAATCTTTCATAAACAATAGGAGGAGCATTTGAAATTACCATCTAATAGTAGCAGCTGCAGCAGCCAAGCAAAGATAATATTGCTTGTAGTAACTATCAAGACCAAGGGCCGAGGGTTCCTTTGCAGCCAAGTTCTTGACCAAGACAGCTCCCTGTACCATAAAGGATTCATCAGAAAAAGATATTTAAGATAGAACATCGACATCAATTAGCTACTTATCTCAGTTGAATTTTTGGTTTTGGAGTAAGATCGTTCAACCTTGGTATCATCAAAGCAGCCACGAGCCATTATTACCTGCAAAGAAGCACATATTTGTTTGTTGAGATGCCACACCAAAAAAAACAGATTGCAGAAGATATGAAAAGGACTATCACCTTCTTGCTTGCAGAGTAATATCTGTCTACTATTACTGACACTCCAACCATGTTATCAGGAGCCAACTTGCTAGGAGGAACAATAATTGACATTGGGTCGTAAAATTGCAACAAGGTCTTGGTATTCTGGTAAGAACTACTAGTTTCAATGTACTGAGAAAGGTGAAGTGAAGCAGATCTTAAGTCCAAAGCTGCAACGCCAACCTGTCCAAACAAATGGTAGCACTCTCTTCACACAAATAATAGCAAATAGTAGCACTCTTATATTACCTATCAAAGCAGTCTAATAAATTTTCAAACTATATACCTTAACCAACCCCCTAAATCCTTAAAAATGACAAATTAATAATTACCCTAGTTTTCAGTCTGAAAGCAACAATTATATTTTGTTAAAACAAAGTCCCCCAATACCCCCTCCCCCCCCCCCTCTCCTTCTCTTCCCATTCGAGGAGACTAGGTAAATTAGCCTAGAAGATCCTCAAACAACAGTCCAACAAAAGCTTCATTACACACGAGTGAGACAACCAAAAAACTTATTACAAAAACCAATACAACAACATTGAAAACCTGAAGAGTAAGGTCTTCACTAAAACGCCCTAGATGAGTGGCATGAGCCAAACGGACAGCTGCATAATAGGTAAATTTACTTTCATCTCCAACATTTATTTAATATTTTCCCTGAGAGTAACTATTCTATTTAAGTGATTTAACAATCAAGTAAAATGCAATTAACATAGTCCTTTCACAAAAATTAAGCAAATTAAGTCTTATAACGGTATCTATATCCACATCATCATATCATTCATATGCATCTGATGAGTGAAACTACGAATTATACAAATTGATTTGAAATTACTATATCATATAACAAACTACTCATACAAGAAAACAAACTATACAAACAATTTGATATTACTCCAACTCTCCAAGTGAATATACAAATGAGAATTATAGTCTGCGTTGAAGTCCACATTCATCATCGAAACTTTCATAATTCAACTCTAAAGTGAATGCGCCTACTTTAGGAACAATTTTTAACACTTGAAATCGCATGCAAATCACATTTTTATAAAGTTGAAAAAAATTCTTCAACAATTGAATTTTAAGTATAGTACACAACAATGAAGGTCTATTTCATCGTAAAAAATGTCACAATTCAGCTATCGCAGAAATTGAGAAACTAATCAAAGTAATTTCTAACAATGTTGCAACAAAAATTCTCAAAAATTTCGGTCAAAATTATTCCTAAAACGACAATCGAACGAATGTAATCTTCAAAAACTTCAAATTCGACGCTTATAAAAACCTAATTCGTCAAAAATTACAGCAGCCAAAAATTGCTGATGATTGAAGATGAAAGTTGCTGAAAAATCTGGAAAAGTAGAGCAAGGAGTGAATGAGTGATACCTCTTTGGCTCTGTTTTCAATGATGCCGATTACGAAGCTCGATTTCTCTCCATCGTCCTCCATTGTCACAAGTTTGAGCTCCTTTGTTTCAAATTTTTTTCTCGACTGCGGCTTTTAAATGCGCGCGAGGCGTTGCGACTTGTAGCAAAAAAGGTGGGCCACTCTCACGAGAAATGGATTGAAAATTCTTTCAAAAATAGAAAAAAAGGATCGAAAATAGACAAACTAAAATTACTGTAGGTAATTATTGTGTGGTAAAAGGATAAGATTGTGTCAAGGTTGTAGGATAAATTCAAAAATGTGTACCTAGACGGTGTGTACATTTTCACAATTTTGTATAAATTTAAGAGTAATGATATACGAAGTATGTAGCTCTTAGAATTACAAATAAAAATTATGGTATTAATTCATAAGTACTATGATATTTTAATTTGTTTTTTCCATTTTAACTCCTTAACACTATGAATATCATTATGCTAAATGGAATAAAGGGGTTATTACTTGTAACTCAGGAGTGTACATACATCTTAAAATTTTCTTTATTTTCCATTTTAAACATTAAAAACTTATTCTGAATAATACGAAGTATTAGCCAATAATTTCTCGAATAATACGAAGTATTAGCCAATAATTTCTCTATGACTAAATAGTTGCACACTTGCACTATCAGGTTATGAGTCCATTAACCCCATGATCAAAATCATCATACACATGGACAAATTAAGTCCCTTCTAGTTGTGACAACAAACTCCTCACGAGATGATTTGTTAAATAGAGATTGAGTTACTTGATAATTGATAGTATTACAATACTTATACACTTCGTAGACAACTTTCAAAAGTCGTAATTGCTTAAAATAATATACTATACAGTTTGAATAATTCTCCGTAACTTCTTAACATTTCTGAGATTTACAAAGACACTCCTCCCTGGTGATAAAGAAAAGAGAGGCCAATATGAGCATATTAAAACACTCTCCCGGACTATACAGACAGATGAGATGATGATTATTTAGCAACTTAACCTTTTAAGACCTCTTCCATTGTTACAAACCTACCCTGCTCAATTGAAACCTGTGCAGCAACTCCAATAGTAACCGAAATCAACCCGTCTATTAAATCCACCTCAGGCGCCTGGGTGCCTTTGTTCCTAATGGCATGCAAAAAGTTTAGGTGCTCTAAGAAACTTGAACCATGATGTAATCCATCATATCTGCAATGTAATGCAACATAATGTAATTAGAGAAGCACTATTTTACTAACATTGGTCATTGTATCTTAAAGCAATAGGATTAAGATAAGATTGGTTTACTTTATTCGTTCATCTACTGTTTGTATAGTTTGCACACCATTCCTGCCTGCTTCTCGAGTGCCAAACCTCACAATGCCCTCTGGAACAAAGGCCTCACCCTGAAATGAGATTTTCAAGGATTCATGAGTATTAGAAGAAAACCTCAACATGCCACTTCTGGTTTTCCGAGGATTGTGTGGAAAAAACAACAAATTGGATATGCTATGGAGTCGATTTAACAGTTAGGTTTCACCTTTCCTACATCCCCAACTACAGATATTTCTTGCTCATTTTTGCTTCCTTCGGCAAACATGCACAGGTCAAGCATGCCCCGTGAGCCATTGTCAAACTCCACAATAGCATATGCGTTGTCAATTATATCAGGAACCTGTCTCAAAAGCAACAACATTGTTATGGACTCCATCCATATTGCAACTTTTGCCAACCATTTTAAGTGAACTAGGATCTGGATACTAGAATATGCAGAAAATTATTTAATTTAATTTTTTAAAAGGCGTTTCAGTAATGACTCAGATGACACACCTTTTTACCAATTTTCATGACCATTCTGACTGATGTTAACTTAATTATGAGTCCACTTGATGCATCACCTTCTGGTAGTTCCTCATAGTCAGACATTGCAAACATGAGTCTTCTAACAGATTAAATTTAAACTGATGTTTGCAATGTCTGATATCATTATAATATTGTACTTTGCATTAAACAATTAGATGTATAAGCAACTTCACTGAGAAAAATGACTACCTTTCCATCATAAACTTCATTCTTGTGATTAACATCCATGGCACCAGAAGCCATCACACGAACAGGATTTGCACCGACAATTAATCTCATGAGATCAAAGAAATGACAACATTTCTCCACTAAAGTCCCTCCGCTGTTTGCATTGAATCGATTCCAGTTGTTGACCTATATGTGATCAATAAAACAGGATAGAAAACCAGGGATTACAGATTTACAGTGAGTGCCTGATTGGTTCAAAAAAATTGTCGCATTATTAACCTTAACCAAGAAAGGAAATCTGTGCTCTCTTATTGCCACCATTCTGATTGGACCTACTTCTCCTCCCTTAACTATTTCTATCAACTTGGCTACCGGTGGCATGTATCTGTACTCTAAACCCACTTGCACCATTATATCTGGTCTTTTCTTGGCAGCATCTACTACCTGAAAGTAAAGCTTAGATTATGAGTATCCTGTGACTCAACTAATTCCAACCATAGCCATGATGAAAACTTGAAACACCCCAACAAAAGAATTTGAGTACAAAATATATGTCAGATCTTTCATCTCAGGACTCAGATATGGCTTCCTGTATTTAAAACCAGTGTCCTAAATTTAACGAATCAGCCTATAAAACACTCAGATGCATACCCATACTTCAATCAAGTAATATGGACTGTACAAAAAATAAACATGAAAACAGATAAAAGCATTATCAATTTATCATGCAACATAAGTACATAAAACAATCTTTATACATAATCAATCTGCATGAGCTATATATATGATCATCCTTAAACAAACTCCAAAGTACACAAGGATCAGAAAGAGTTTAGGACACAAGGGACACAATGCTGCACGCAGATATCTTACTGTTTCAGTCTGACTTTCTAGTGTTTGCTTGTCAGTGATTACTTAATAAGGAATACCATCGGGTGGGATAAGGAGTACGGTGTAAGAACTTATAACCCCTCTATTGGCTCTATCACCATGTACAATAACAGTTCAACACAACAATGCCACGTCCATTGTTGAGCATCCAAATTTCTGAACAAACTTTTTCTGATCTATTGTATCTACTACAATTGCAGTTAGATGTAAAGCAAAAGAGCTATTGTGAGGGTTCCTCATGTTACTTTACTCATGTGATGCAGTTTGGGCATCAAATTCTTCCTTTAAGGTTGCCTATGATGTTGTGAAAGTCAATATTGGATAATGGTGCAACCAACTACAGAAGTATTACACTATTCATTGAGGGACAATGTAGCAGCAGAGAAATTCATGGAAATTGAAAGAACCTAATTCAGATTTTCTGGCATTTCAAATTTGCCTCACTATATGGAAAACAATCAAATACAGTTAAGTACAACATGCACTCCTTTCCATAACTAGAGCCCGCTCTATGGCATGAGCTCCATGAGCAATGGCTCAGGGCCTTTTTTTGTTTTTGGTGCCCCACATCTTTTTCTGAAAAAAATAAATAAATAATAAATAATAAATAAAAAGTCTTTTCTAAGAATTGAGATAGCATGTTTATCAAAAAAAATAAAAAATAATAATAAAAAAAAAAAATAGGTAGCATTATTTTTTTTTGAAACAGAATAGATAGCATGCTTTACGCCTTTCATGTTCTTGTTTTTTTATTTTTATCTTAATTTTTTCAAGATTTATACTAATTATTACACTCTATTTACTTTCCAACTATGATAAGTAAAATTATTCTCTCATAAAATTTTTCCTACAAGCCTTGTTTGGCGGTAGCGTTTTAAGTAGTGGTTAGCCTTTAAACTAGGTCAAAACACTAGTAGGAAAAACTATGTGCGTTTGGTAAGGTAGCGATTCATATGGCGGTTAGCGGTAAAGGTAGCATTCAGTTAGCTTTTGCCAAACGTTAATAATTGCGTTTGAAGGATAGCGAGTAGCTTTTGACAAATTTTGTTTACTTTATAAGTATTATGGATATATTTTTATTGTATTTTAACATATCAACCGCTATTTTTACCAAATACTAATACTATTAACTGCAACATTGATAGCTAACCTCTACCCAAACCTACGCGTTACTCGACCGCTGACCGCTAGTTTTTCAAAAAGCACCTAAGTCTTATATAAGACGGGTGTACGTTAATTTTATTGTAAGACGGTCACTTTGAGGGTAACTACTATTTCTATAGTAACTTTAACCCTAGTAACTTTTAATTTGTCGTTGGTTTAAATTTTATTTTAATGTGCAATTTTTTTATAGATTCATGATTACAAATTATAAAGGTTAATATGATTAATCTAATACATTATAAGTTTTTTGTAAAATTAAATTTATTCAATCAATCAAAGCCTTAATCCCATTTGTGTGGTCGGCTACATGAACCAAATTTGATTATTCAATGTAAGATAAAATTTATTATTAGAAAAATAAAAACTTTTGTAATATAAAGGGTAACAATTTTTTAAGATAATATTAACCAGTTTTACAATAAATTAACGTACACTCACCTTTTTGGAGAATTTGTGTTTTTCCTATTTGTTCTTTCTAATTCAACCCACGCTTGATAATGAGATATTGAGATGTCCAATCATAGCTTGTGGATAATTGATGAACTATCTTCAAAATCCATTGGACAAGACAAGAGAAGAATAGGTAACGTTGACCTTCTCTAATGTTGGATCACCCACCAAGGTTACCGACACTCCGGCGATACTAAAACTCATTACATGAGTTTTCCAATCAGTCGTCACCGTTCTGAGCTTCTCAAGCCATTGCACTCTAAAGATTACATCGGCGTTACCTAGCCCCAAGTGCAAAAAATCCTCCACTAAGGTCACCCCTCTACTCAACTTGATCTTCACGCCCCTTAAAATTCCACTTCCTCTTACCGTTTCCCAAAGAAACATCTAACTCGACACCCTTGTCTAGCGGCACCTTCGCGTCTTCAACCACCCTTAACGATAGAAAGTTATGCGTTTCCCCGGATTTGTCATCACGGTGACTTCCTTGCCTTGTACGAATCCCTTAAGTTTCATGGTTTTTGGATTAGTAAGCCCCACCATCGAACATAGTGACACCTCAACCACCTCTTCTATTTCCCTTTCCTCACTGTCAGACACCATCAAGTCATCAACACACACACTGAGCTCCTTCCTCTTACACCTATGCGCGATGCCTCACCTTTCATCACAACGAAAGCAAAGGCCTTTTGCTCATCGTTCTTGTAATTCGGCTTATGTAAGTCTCCTAGTTTCAGTAGTGCACTAGGAGGCTTGAATATTGTTGGGCCTGTTTAGATTGACAGACCCTTAGTGATTCGTTGGGCTTAGGCAGCTTCGACTTGGACCAGCATCTAGGGGTAGTCCATAAGTGAGGTCATCCCTCTTCCTATTTTGTTGCTGCTGACCCCACTTGTACTCGGACCGATTTGACTCAGTCCGGTTCGCCACGGTCCGAGCTCACTTTTTCCTCTACTAACCCGGTTCCTAGCCTCAATTTTCCTAGCTAAATCCATAGCCCGTTCCAACGTGCCCGGATCTAACAACCTCAGTTCGGCTTTGATTTCTTCATTGAGACCATGTATAAATTGGCCACTCATAATTATCTCTAGTACGTCCTCCAAGCGAAACGCCAATTCAAAAAAAATTCTTTGGTACTCCTCCACAGTCGTCGTTTGTGTCACTACAAGCCATTGCTCTTGCAAGGTGCCCGAATTGGTGGGTTGGAACTCCTTCGAGATGCGGCCGCGCAGATCGTTCCAATGGGCGAAGGGACGCCGACGATTCTCCCAATGGAACCACTACAAAGCCGGGCCATCCATGGCCACCACCCCCACGGTCACGCGGTCTTCAGTTGATAGAAGTCGAAGTACATTTTGGCCACGGTTGCTTTCAACTCCTCTATGAATTTCTCATTTACTGCCTGAGCCTCCTGGTCCCGCCTGAAACGGTCGATCCGTTCCTCCAACCGTATTCTATCTTCTTCTAGCAATTTTCTCCGCCTCAAACAACGTGGTGAAGTTGTCAGTGATGGCCTTCTATGTTTCCGCCATGGCCCTGCTCACTACCTCTGCCACCACACGCCCAATGGAGGCATCTTGGTCAATAAGCCTCTCCTCGATGGACTTCAGCCGCGACTCGACCTCTTCGAGTTCTCGTCCACCGCGTCCGCCCATTGGGTCAGCAAGGGTCCCGCCATGATCAACCGCTCTGATACCAAGTTGTCAAGGACCGATAATGGACAGTGTAATTAACTCTAATTATTAATTTAATTAAGGGGAAAACTTAGATGATTAATACTAATTAAGGAAGATAAAAGAAATAGCTTTAAGCTATTAATCTCACAGTAACTTTAGGTTACTAATCTCTCGAGTATTTCTCTCATTAATTTCTAGATATCATTTCTAACATATAACTCTAAGCTGCTAATACAAGGGAATGCACTCTACATGTGATCCTTAACACTAAAATGGCAAAACCAAACTTAGACAATTAAACTACTTGTTGCTAGCTTCCCCTGATTAATTCTTAATAATCTTTGTCATATTGTTCTTTGTTGTTGTTGACTTCCTTAGACCTTGCTAACTTTTCCTCGATTTTCGGGTATATACCTCGTTCAGGTTATGGGCTGATCCATAACACATTTTTCATCCGAATTCCTCACTTTTCAATGTTTATACTTTATAGTATGAGATATGGAGAGTAAAAAGCAATTCCAAAATTCCGAAAGCATCAAATGGAACGAATACAAATTAAGAAATAAGCCAAACACAATTTAAATTGGATATAGAGTTCTAATAACAATTTTAATCGATTTAAAACCTTGATAAGTCAAAGTGTAACCTTAATAGTGATAAAATTCGGACGTACGTGAAAGTTTAATAATGCAATAAATTTATATATATTTGATAGAACAGATGCACAAGTTTAATGAACCTAATGTAATACAATAAATTTACACATTTTTGGTGGAACGCAAGCGAAAGTTTAAAAATACAACGAATTAGCACATTTTTAGTGGGAGACTCGCCCTAAAAAACTCATATTTCTAATTTGTGAGAGTTAATGTTAAGTTCAGGTCTCTCACTGCCATGTGAATGCTTTTGCACTCTAAGTTTTATCATGACTTTGGTGCAATATTATTGTTTTTCCACTCAACATCATACATAACATAACATGTATTTATAGTGGAGAATGTTAGTTCTTTACCACACTATTCTTGTATTTGGATTTAGTTGTAGATTTTTCTACTTACAGCTAGAATTCTCTTCTCTAAAATTTGTATAAGATTTTTCTATACAACATAAATTCTAGATTATTCTTTTTTATTCCAGACAAATTTCTATACTAGATTTTTCTAAATTACCATATTTCAACAAATAGCACTACTAAACAACATTCTAAAGCTTTTAATATTATACAACTTGATTGCTAATTTTCCGGCACTACACCACATACACAATACAATTTAAGGGGGTGTTTGGTTCGGAAAATGGAAACGGAGTGGAAAGGAAACAAATAATAGGGGGGAAAGGAATCATTTAGCTTTGACCTTTTCATTTGTTTGGTTTAACCATGGAAAGGGTATTTTTTAAGAGGAGGGTAGGGGTATTTGTTACAGAGAAAATACTTGTTAATATTGCATATTAACATCTTTTGTTTATATGGGGGTGCAGTGGTCAATTTGCACACTTTAGTAAGGGTAGACTCGTCATTCAATTGGTGTCTTTAGTTACTAGTTAAACGCTCGTCAACAAACGTCAATATACTCTGTTCTTGCCACTTTGCCAGACTATGTGTATGACCCCATAAGCAATTCCTCTACGGCTCTACACTAGCAAACTGCACACCACGGTGGTTAAAATTGTTGTTGCGAAGGAGATGATTCCCCAAAGGGATTGATATGGCCCTAATTGACACTCTTTGCTATTAGGGTATCTATTTGTGTCGCCGCGAAGCGACTTTGTAACCTCGAAGACGGTAGTGGTGACTGAAATGAAGACGGGAAGACGAAGACAAAGATGGTGGTGGTGGCAAGGATTTCACGTACGTTGGTCAGACCAAAAAGTGTATGGTTGTGGTCTAGTGGAAGCCATTTTAGATCTGAGTATCAATTTTGTATTTTTGTTGTTTTTTTAAGTTGGAATTTTTAAATGTAATCTATTGGTTGTTGGACTAAAATTTTGGTCTCATATGTAATTTGATTATGACTTTGTCGAATTTGAAGAGTAAAGCATGAGGAAAAGAGTACATCAAGAGGAGGGATGGGAAGGAACGGGGTTGTGTGAAGCTCCAGAACAAGAACAGAGTTACAAAAACGTTAAGAAGCGTCCAGTTAAGTGCCCCATCAGCAATATTCAGAAATAACATTAAAATATTTCAGGAAGTGCTCATAATTGCGAAAATGCCACCATATTAACATATTTTGTTAATATTGCATATTAACTGGTCATAGCTCATTTGTTACACAAGTTTTGAGAGGTAACAAATAAAGGGTAACAGGAAAATGGTAATTGTTACCATCCCTTCAAACCAAACACACGGTATCGGTATTGGTTTAATCGAATCCGTTTCCAATCCAAAATACACTAACTAAACACCCCCTAATTGTATAATCATACATTCATGATAAATCAAAGCAATAATACTTTTAACCAAAAAAAAAAAAGCAATAATACAAAAATTTAATGCAGAAAACTTAGTTACTTGTAATTTCATTTCAAGTCTAATGTTGGATTCTCAATCCTTAACATGGACACAATTCATGTAAAATTTTGGCAAAATTGGCAAGCCAGAGACTTAAACATGTACCCATATCCAACACAAGTACCCGTGTCCGGGCAATGTAGATTAGAAACATACCTGTTGGCAATGGGGGACAGTGGTACAAAGAGGCTTCTCAACAAGAACATGATGAGGTTTAGGATGAGCAATAATATCCATAAGAATTTGATAATGGGTCATATTTGGAGATGAAACTATCACAACATCACACAACCCACTATCCAACATCTCCTTATGCCCTGAAAACACCTTTCATCCAAACGACACCCATTAAAATTAAACCAAACAATAATTAAACTCAAACATCATTTTAATTTTATAGCAAAATTAGAAGTGAAAATTGTACCTGAAGGGGCCAATTGAAGGAGTGAGCAAGATCAAGGGCGGAATCGAGGGAAGTAGGGTGAGGGTCGGCGGCGCATACGACGGAGACACCGTGATCGCGGAGGTGGTAGAGGTTGATAAGGTGTTCTCTTCCCATCATTCCTACTCCTATTATTCCGTACTTTACTACTGTCTTCTCCTCTTGCTCTGCTACTGCTGCTGCCGCCATTGTTGTGAAGGAAAGATCGTAATTGGGAGAGTATTCAGTTCAATTGGGATTTCAGTTTTGACAAAGTCTGTGTGTTCAATTTCCTTCGTCAGAGTGAATTTGGCGTTTTGGTGGATACTGGTCAAGTACTCAAGTAGAAGTTGGGGAGAGTTTGTAACAGGATGAGAGAATTTTTACGGGACCGTGAGAATCTAGGTTGCACGGAAACGGGAAACGGGAAACGGAAAACAGAAACGAAAACGGGGAAATGGGGAATTGGGAAAACGGAAATTTTAAATTTATGGGGAATGGGGACATGAAAAATAATAATTAAAAAGACATTTTATTAGAATAACAAATAGCAAGAAAAAATAACAAACTAATACTTAGGGTCTGTTTCGATTGACTGAACTCAGCTGAACTGAACTGAACTGAACTTATTAATTAGTGATTTTTAACTACGAATTAGTGATCTTTGATTATTTATTATTATACATATGTGTATATACAAATTATTATTATTATTATTATTATTATCATTATTATTATTTATTGATTATTATTAGTATTATTATTATTATTATTTATTGATGATTATTATTATTATTCATTGATTATTATTATTAGTATTAGTATTTCAATTATTATTGTTATTATTATTATTAATATTTATTGATGATTATTATTATTATTATTTATTACTTATTGATTATTATTATTATTATTATTATTATTATTATTGTTAATATTATTATTATTATTGTTGTTGTTGTTGTTGTTGTTGTTGTTATTGTTGTTGTTGTTGTTATTGTCGTTGTAATAAGAGATTAAAAGAATGAAATTTGGCTTTATATCATTAGCAATATCATTAGACATAAATTAAGAGCTGAACTAAACTGAAATGAACTGAACTGAACTGAGTTGAACTGAACTGAACTGAACTGAATTTCAACGGAAGAAAACAGGCCCTTAGTCTTTTAAGTAAACATGGGCACGGGTCGTGCCCGTGCCGCCGCGGGCCGTGCCTGGCCGTGCCGGGGTGGGGGCCGTGTCGTGCCGGCTCCGCGGCGGGCCGTGCCTGAATTTGGCACACCCCAGCCCACGGCACGGCACGGCCCACGTGCCTTGCGGGCCGTGCCGTGCCAGGCCGCGGGCCAAACCGTGCCAGCCTTTTTTTTTTTAATAAATGAAAAAAAAAACGAATTAAACAATATATATTTTTTTAGTACAACTTAATATATGTGATTAATTTATGTTTATGTTAAATGTTAATGTTAATATATTTTGTTTTCATTTTTTGAACAACTTTATTTTAATTTAGGTTATATAAATTATTTATCTAATTAATAATTATGTTTAAGTTTATTTAAACAAATAAAAACAATTTTATTAATTTAGCAAAAAACAACAATGCATATAATAAAAAAAAATACGAGTGCGATAATCCGAAAACACAAAAAATTGAAGAATAACTTATTTTATTATATGACGGTAGCCGGTACGAATGTACGATAATTCAATAATACAAAATAAGTAATGACAATTAAAAATCGTACAATAGTGTATGAATATTGAATAACTTCATTTATTATACGGAATACGAAGTTCGATAATACAAAAAGAATACAATAGTGTATAATGTAAATATGTAATCATGTAATTATTATTGGTCGTCTTCGCCTTCGTCTTCATCTTCGTCTTCGTCTTCGTCTTCTAGAGGTTCAAGTTCATCCGCCAATTGAGTTGATTGAGAAGTATGAGAACTAAAAGAAGTCGACGTTCCTTCATCGTCGTCGTTTTGTGCATAAGTACGATCTTGAGAACGAGTTTCGGCATCCAACCAATCCTTGAAGCAAACACACATTTCAAGTGTTTCGGGTTTTAGTCTTGTTCTTCTATCGTCTAAAACTCGTCCCGACGCACTAAAAGCTCTTTCGGAGGCAACGGAGGAGACTTGGATTGCAAAAATATCACGAGCCATTGCCGACAAAATTGGATGTTTCACGGTTTGTGATTTCCACCAATCGAGGATGTCGAGGCCAAACTTCTCTTCATCGTCCATGCCTTTCATGAAGTCGTAACTTAAGTACATTTGCAACTCCGAAACATCGCTTTGTGTTCTCTTACTTGATGATGATTTCGTACCTGAAAACTTGGACATCATGTTAGCAGCTTGTGCAAATAAACCTTTGGCCCGTTTACTTACATTTTTGGATGTTTGAGAAGGGGCAAATCGAGACACGGTTCCATATTTACTTTCATAAACTCTATATAAAGAAAAAAAATCATTTGTCACCTTACTTTTAAAAGCTTCAACATCATCTTCAAAATTCATGTTACTATAATAAATATCAATTAATAAAAAGGTGCCATCATATTTTTGCCTAGGATCTAAAATAGAAGCAAAAATATAAATCATATGAATATCGGTGTAATATTTACGCCATTTTTCCTCTATAGATGGAAGATATCCACGATAAACATGTTGAGATCGGTGTTCCGCAAAAAGTTGTGCAAGTAAACATGCATTACTAAGAAAAGAATGAGAACAAGGATTATATACAGAAGAAAAACAATGGGTCATACCATATAGTAATTGTAAAAACTGCATATATTTTTCACAATTAACCCAATCATCTTCTAGTAAAGCATTTGTGGAAATTTCATATTATAAAAAAGTGTTAAATGAGCCTTGTACTCGATTGCCCGACTCAACATTTCATAGGTGGAGTTCCACCTAGTTGGACAATCCGGTGCTATTTTTATGGTTTTTATCCGTTGTTGCCTGCAAAAACCTTTCCATTTTTGATATCTCATGTTAGAGCTATTAATAGACATAATAGCATTCCTTATTTTGTGATAAAATGGACCAATTGCTTGTGTTCCATCCTTCACACACAAGTTAAGAACATGACAAATGCATCTAACATGAAGTGCATCTCCATCTAATATAACATCGGTCAATTGGTTTTTGACCAAATTCGCACTATATGTCATAGAAGTTGCATTATCGAAAGTCATTGACATGATTTTATCCCTAAGACTATATGCATCAATGGCTTCCATTAAATAATGTGAAATGTTAAGACCGGTATGAGGGTATTCAAGCATTTTGAAATGAATGATGCGTTTTTGTAACATCCACTCATTATCTAACCAATGACAAGTAACACATAAATAGTGGAGTCCGTAACCACCATCCCATGCATCGGCGGTTAAAGAAACTCTACTAGGAAGATTAGCTAATTCATTTACTAATTTCAATTTGTACTCTAGATAACTCTTCATGGCAGCAGATCGAACGGTTTTTCGGGAGATTTTTTTGTGTTTTGGTTGTAGTGCTCAGTTAACATAGTTGTTGAAGGCATCATTTTCGACGAAAAGAAAAGGTTGTTCCGCATGTACAATCATTCTCCCAAGTTCATCCCTATCTCTCTCGTAATTGTAAATGAAGTCTTGTGGATGGAATTGAGAAATTTTGGGTTGGGTTGGATCACTAGATGGTCCACCACATTTTTTTGTATGTCTATTAAGGTGTCCCGTCCCTCCCTTGGTATCGGCCGAGAAAATTTTACCACAAGTCCGACACTTAGGCCTTTTGTCCATTTTTACTTAATTGATAATGTGACCAAACTTCACTCTTTCTTTTGGTTTGAGAAAAATCCTCTTCGGTACACCACTCTAATATGTTAGGATTTTGGGTGTTGGGCATTGGGTGGATGGTTCACTCGACCCGGAGGCTTGTGTTTGGCTACCTTGGGAAGGAGGAGGAAAAGGAAATTCATGTTGTTGAAATTGACTTTGTTGAAATTGGGTCCAAGGAGCCATATCATCCATTTGTTCTTGCCCTCCCGTGTTTTGGGGATGAAAGAAAGGGGTGGAAGTGTTTGGAAAGGGCATGTTAGGGGAGGGAAAGGGCATGTTAGGGGGGGGGGGCATAGGCATTGAAGTGTTTGGATTTGGTGATTCCCTACGTTTTGACTTGGCTATTCTAGAGGAGGAGGAAGCGTTCGAGTTTGATGCCATGATTAATTAATAATAATAACAATAAAAGTAACAATAACAATAATAATAATAATACAAATAACAATAACAATAACAAAGTAACAATAACAATAATAATAACAATTCACAACAATAATAATAACAATAACAATAAGAATTAGTAAGTAGTTTTTATATAAATTAAATTTTTAAAAATAATTATAATAATAGTAGATTACTTGGATCAATGAGATCCCAGGTAGGAGAGGTTAGGAGCGACGTTGTCCAGAGCCAAGTCCCGCCTTAGACAGATTTCAACAATCCAAATAACCCACAATTAAAATAGAAAGTAGTTTTTATATAATTAAGTAGTTTACAACTTCCAAGAATACAATAATAATAATAATAATAATAATAATAATAATAATAATAATAATAATAATAATAATAACAATAATAATAATAATAATAATAATAATAATAATAATAACAAGATTAACAACTAACAATAACAAATTAAAATAAAGTTGAGTTAGATCTTACAATGACGCTTCAATGCTTTCCCAAATTTATAATTTCCCGAACTTATAATTTCCCGAATGTAAATATAACAATTTTTTTTTTTGGTAGTAGACTAATAAAGGTAATAATAGTAAAAATGTAAAATTTATAAGAGAGTAGGATTTTTTTTTTTTCACAAAAGAGAGCAAGATTGTAGGAATTTGAGAATTGAGAATTTGGGAGTAAGAAAATTAGAGAATAAGAGAGAAGAGATGAGTTGTGAAAATTTTGGAGGAAAATATGAGGTATTTATAGGGAATTTGGGTGGGAAAAGGGGTGGAAAACTAGCCGTTTATAGCTGTTGGAAAACGGCCATAAACGGATAGTTTTCCAACGGTAATTTGGCACGGGCCGTGCCTTGCGGGCTCGTGCCGTGCCGTGCCGTGCCTTGCGGGCTCGTGCCGTGCCGTGCCGTGCCACGTGCCGTGCCGCCGGGTCGTGCCAGCATGCCGGCCCACGTGCCGGCCACCGTGCCGCCCGGCGTGCCACGTGCCGTGCCCGTGCCAAATCCCACAAATTTGTTCACGGCACGGCCCACGGCCCACAGGTGGCCGCCGTGCCGTGTCGTGCCGGCGACCGTGCCATGCCGGAGTCGTGCTGGGCCCGTGCCGCCCGCGTGCCGGCACGGGCCGTGCCCATGTTTACTTTTAAGTATGAAAAGCACAAAACTTCCAAAACACGTGCTCTACTCCAGTACATACATAATTGAATATCTTGAAAGATACATTAAATAATTTAACTTAAAAAAAAATGTACTATTGTCGACATCTCTGCCAAACAAAAAGCATTCATCAAGGCATTCATGTAATATCGATCAAAATCAAAACTAAAACAAATATTACAAAAATCGGTTGGTGGTAATTGGTAATTACCTCTGTTGTTCCGATAAGGCGGTGACGGTAGGTCGGCGGCAAATAAGGGTCTCCAAGCTTTGAAACAGCAACTATGGAAGCGGCAACTATGGAGTATGCTGCTCGTACTATGTAAATTGTAAAATCAGGGGTTTAATTGCTAGCTATTTCTAAGGGAAACGCCTATTTATATTGAGAATCAAGTTTCCCAAGGGTTTCCAAACTTCCCGATTATACGAGACGTTTTCCAAGAATTATGAAACTCTATGAAGCGTTTCGAAACGAGTTTCGAAACATGATACGTTTCCAGAACGTTTCGGACACCGTATGTTGCAGAAATTTGCCGTTTCCGTGCATCACAAGTGAGAATTTTAAGATGGCACTTGGGCGGGCTAGCATAAATCATGTGTTACTACTTACTAGACCTGAGAAAAAGACAACCCGATACAATAATTGTTGCGGTTTATGTAATGACCTTGACCTTTTTATTTTGTGTTTTGCATAAATCAACCTATGTCACAAAAATGGTCGATTGTGTACATATGTGAAGCCTTTTTCTATGTCGTACTTAGTCAAGCCTTAAGACATATCTCTCACGTCACGAAAGATGGATTGGCATGAGCAAAATATGTTCTTGTTGTAAAAGTTGTATCAGTGGTAATGTAAATTGGAAGTTTGTCTCGTGAGTTATAGCTTGCACATTCTTGTGTAAAAGTTGTATTGATAGTAATGCAAATTGGAAGTGTGTCTTTGCGAGCCATTGAGTGAGCTATATCTTGCACCTGCTTAGCATGGCAAGTACAAGCTATAGCTCACAAGCGAGCGATCGCTCAAATGCTTGTATTATTACGGTAAGACTTAACTATAGCTCACAGGCGAATGGGTGATAACTAAGAAGCATGATTGCTTGCGGCAAGGCCGAGCTATAGCTTGCAGGTGAGCGAGCAGGCGATAACTTGGCTGCTCGTGCGTGCGGCTTGGACGGGAAAGGTCTTTTTTTTTTTCATTGACTACGCTTATATAGGCTCTTTTACGTCTGAAATAGATTTTTATTGAAAGTTTGGATTATTTATATCCTATATTGAAGTAGATTTTTTTTGAAGGAAATTTTTCTCATAAACTCTACTCTTTTTTACCGAAACATATATAATTCAATTCCTATTATGTAATACTGTATTTATTATAAAACCGAATATGATTTGGACAGTATCTAATTGAATAAACAAATCAATAAATAATACTCCTCACAGCATTTTTTTTTACACACCGTACAACATTACTTGAACAAGTATTGGAAGCGGCATTCCGCGGCTCTGGTTACTGTCTTGGCCTTCAAGACAACTGCTCCTTCCATGTCCTGCAACAAATTCCAGTAACTGTAAAATCATAAGCAAAGAAAATCCCCAAAATGAAATTTAGGGTTCATCGGAAATTCCCAGTATTCGATAATATCTATCGAATTTCCAGTCTCAAAGTCCTTCAATGTCGCAATGTTAATCCCTTCTTCATCAACAAGCTTCGTTCCTTTTCTTCTTCTGCTAAAGCTGCTCTCAACGATGGCCATAACAGCAACAGCAGCAGCTCTAATGGTTTCTTTCTCCTATTTTTTGAAAATTTATTTGAAATTTTCAGTAATCTAAGTTCAAGAATTTTAGTTAACTTGAATTTTTGATATAATTTTAGCAGGAAATACATTTCTGTTGCCTGGCGCAACTGTGGCTACTATACTTATGCTTGGTGCTCTTCATGCTCGTCGCCTTTACGATGATAAGAAGGTCATTTTTCCATTCTTTTTATTTCTGTATTAATGTTATGCTTATTTAGTTTGGTTGATTAGTAGTGAACTTATATTGATTTTGATTTTTGTTGTTGTTGTAAAATTAGTATGAAATGGATCAAAATGTAGTTCCATAATTAAATTGTTATTTTCTGTTGACGATTTTAGCTGTTGATTAGATTTTTTTAGGTTTTGTTTATCACTAATTGGTTCAGATAAGTTCGTGGCTAATTTGTTTAGATTAATGCATGAATAAAAGTTTAGGTCACATAAATTAAGTTAGGGTTTGGGAAAAAATGGCTACCCAAGTTCAATTTACTACTACAATATGCTCATGCTGAGATGTTCAAAAAAATTGAGTTCAGGGCTATTAAGTTCAAAAGGTTTGGATGTGCGTAATTCAGGTGAAGAGAACATGTCTTTCGCGAATTTATTTTTACTCCATAAGTTCAGTTCATGCTTGTGATTTGTGAAATGTATGTTGGTTTTGAGAAAATGTTTTAGTGCTTGACATTGAAATTGTTTGTTGATAGGTTGAGGAGGCAAAGGAGAAAGGCTTTGAACCTGGGTTCCAGCCTGATGCAAAAGTAATGTTGTTGCTTGATTGTCTATTTGGCTTTTCTCGTGGACATATATTCACATTGATTCATAAAATTGATGAGTACTTGTTTGACATATTTTTTATATACTTTGTATGCCTGTATTAGGCATCATTTTTGGGACTGCTACCCCTACGCACTATCTCTCGTATGTGGGGCTCCTTAATGAGTGTGGTGAGTTTTAACTTTCACTTCAATTTGTAACCAGAAAGTTGTTTACCTTATGAATAAACCATCTGCTGTTCTTAATTTTTATAACATGATGTGCTGCCTGTAGTGGTCAAAATGAATCTTCTCTTGTTTAATTTATCGCAGGAACTTCCTGTAAAAATGCGACCATATGTGTACAGAGCATGGGCACGGGCATTTCATTCAAGTAAAAAATCATTTGCATTGCTTTTAGTGCTCCACTTTTTTCACTTGACATCAATGATGAAATCACTGTCTTTATTTGTTTTGAGCTGTTGTGAGCTTGAGAAAATGTAAGCTTCCTGCAAGGAGTTTTATGAGAGGTTTTTTATTTGCAGACTTGGAGGAAGTGGCTTTGCCTCTGGAAGCATACCCATCTATGCGGGATTTCTTTGCTCGGAGGCTGAGAGAAGGTTGCAGACCTATAGACAATGATTCTCAATGCCTGGTAACTGGTAACAACTTTTTGGTTTCTTTATATGTCTAACCTGCATTTTTATTATCTGCCTTTTGTTCATTATATGGTGCTCGTTTATGATGACAGATCAGCCCTGTGGATGGCATTGTTGTGAGATTTGGGGAGTTGAAAGAACCTGGTGCCATGATTGAGCAAGTTAAAGGTTTTTCCTATTCTGTGTCTGCTCTTCTTGGACTAAATTCTTTCCTTCCCATGGTATCTGGAAAAGATGTGGCTGAAAAGAGCAGTGAAGTAGAGAATGTTCACAGGGATCAAACTAAGAAGTCATGGTGGAGAGTATCCTTTTCTTCTCCCAAATTTCAGGAACCAGTACCTGCTAGGTAAAGAGGCTATTCAGACTACATAATTTTCACACTTTTGATGCTTCAAAGAATTTGTTCAGTATGTTCTTGATATCTTCTACACCTTGATATTACTCTTGGTAATTGCTCTTATTTTGTCAAGGGGAGAAGAGATAGCATTGTGGCTAGTCAAGTTCTTTTCCTTGTTCTGTGTTCTTATTGTTGCCCATGCACGGGCCATATATTGACCTTTGATTTGCTTCCATTGCATTGTTGATACTGTAGTTATCTCTTTATGCAGGTATTTGGTCTTATATATATTTTTTTTTATCATTGATGTGTGCCTGCTATGTTTCATTCCTTTTACAAGTACACAGTCACATATACATAAATTGCACATCTGCTAATAATTATGATTTATTTTGCAGTCCAATGAAAGGTCTTTTTTATTGTGTCTTGTACCTAAGCCCTGGAGACTACCATCGTATACATTCACCTGTTGACTGGAATGTTCTTGTCCGCAGACATTTTTCAGGTGATTCAAAAATTCAGTTTGTTTGTAGGGAAAGCTCTATCTAGAACAATTTGCTTTACGGAGAGGAATAATTTAGATAGTCATGGTTTGAATAGCCAACTTCATCTTCTTGAAACAGAATGTTGTTATTTCTCGTGTAATCTTTATGATACTATCAGCTGATAGTATTAATTTCTTATTATTCTGCCTGGCCTAGTTATGCGCTCAATTTAGGTTGCCCTTTGGCAAGCAATAGCTTGAATTGAAAGATTAGGCTACATGCTCATATTTTGTCTTCTTAGGATGTTAAGCTGCTGTGTTTTACCATAAACATTCATTAATCCTTCATCTTAATTTTTGTATTGGACCTTGCTGGTTGAATGCTTATATACTTACCGGCTGATCCACTTAGCCAAAATAAACTGACCTGAGCATGGCTAACTGCACGGTGTTATGCATTTTCTGCTGTTGCTATTTGTTTTTAATATTTACTTCAGCTATCACCTTCCTTTTATTTGGTGGTTTTAACTATAAGTTAGTCATTTTTATTGTTGTAGGTCGCCTTTATCCTGTGAATGAGCGTGCTACTAGGACAATCAGAAACCTATATGTCGAGAATGAAAGGGTACACAAACTTCTTAATTTCATAACTTTCATAGCTGTAGAAAGACTAGAAAATGCACTCTGCAGAATCATTTGACGATTAAGGAGAAATTTTCTTACTGCAAGTGTCAAACTGGGCTAATCTGCTTTTTATAATGGTCATCATTGGCACTAGGAATGACCACTAATTTCTTTTTTCTGTTATTTGTGGCGGGTGAAACCTAGCTAAAAGTCAATGTACAGCCAATGGTAGACATAGTAACACCTTCTTCTACAGTCTGCATGTGGTTGAAAGTCTAATACAACAAGCAATTGCTCATTTTACCATAATGCTTACGAGATTAATTTCTCTTGAATTCCCAGAGGAGTCATATACTCATATGCAGGCCACTAGTCTTTTACACTACATCCCTAGTCAGCCACTAAAATGCTTTTCAGCTCCTAATATCATGAGTGATGTGTCGAAGCACTGCAGCTGCAAACATGATTTTGTACACTAAGAAGCTAGATAACATGTGTTTTTAGAATTTGTACATGATCTTTTCACATTTTTGCTAATGAGGTTTTCTCTGTTTATTATTCGGCTAAACCAGGTTGTGCTAGAAGGTCACTGGCAACAAGGGTATCTAGCACTTGCAGCAATAGGTGCTACAAACATTGGTTCTATTGAGGTAATCGTATCTCTATCTCTAATTTTTTTGAGCTAGAGATTCCCTTTGCTTTACGTTGCTTGGTTTGCCTTTTTTTTTTTTTTTAATAAAATGGTACGTGCTATTTGTAAGAGTCGTAAGACCACCCTTTATGTAAAAAATACTGATCTTTTTGAACCCTTGATGACCGGAAGCAAGCTGTGTACTTAATAGTAATAGCTAATAGCTAGCTTCTGCAAATTTCAGACTTTTTATTGACTTTTAAAATTATCAATTCTTAACATGATTTACTTCCTTGCACATCAGCTTTACATTGAGCCAGAGCTGCGTACAAATCGTCCTAGAAAGAAGTTTCTACAGTCAGAGCCACCTGAGGAGCGCGTGTATGAACGAGAAGGTGTTGGCTGTATGGTTAAGAAAGGAGAAGAGGTTAGAAATGAAATCCAATCTCTTTTCAAAGTTACTTTACCCTTACTTTCTTGATATTTAGAGGTTAATGATCTTAATTCTATTATCATTCGATTCTATGTTTTGATGGTGTTTCCTTTCATTTGTTGAGTTTTTGTATGAGTGATGACTGTTAGCCTCAAGTCTCGTATGTTTTTGAGATCTGTTTGCGTGTATAGTCTTGATAATTTTGTTACATTATCAAAATAATTCAGGTTGCAGCTTTCAACACGGGATCAACCGTGGTACTTGTCTTTCAGGCTCCGGTAGCCAAATCAACAAAAGACAACACACCATCAACAGACTTCCGATTCAACATCAAACGTGGTGATAGAATCCATGTGGGAGAAGCCCTTGGGAGATGGAATGATGCACAGAAAAAAGAATGAGGCTATATAATGGAACTTGTAGGAGCACACAAATTTTTGTAGGTGACAGAAGATATCATAGAAGTTTTGTCCATTGCAACTATTGAGAGAGCCATTACTAACAAATATATACGCATGTAGTCCCCACTTAGAATTTAATGTATCGTGGTTTTATGTGAAATTCAATTGATTGCCTAATTGTAAAGAGGGGATATATTATACACTAAACACCTATATTGAGGCTTATTGGTCCATATTATGTAGTATAATACTATGTGAAGATTTGATCTCTTCTCTTTTAAGCGTAGAGCATCCGATCACAAACTTATTCTTCGGTTGATTGATCAGGTGTAGAAGGCATTCCAATTTATCTCATGTCTCCATTTCCATCTGTCTACCACAGTAATGGGAACCTGCATGATTCTTCTGCATTAGATTATATCTGGGCTACTAATAGGGTTATCTTGTCAATAGGCTGGTAGTACCAGATACAATAACATGCATCACGAATACTTGTATCATGTAAAAATGCGTTATCTTTACGGCTAAAATTCAATAAACCGAACGAGGTGGATTTATAATATAACTGCTTCTCAAATTATAGCAACCCTTGTTTGTAGTAAATGGAAAATATTTCTTTCAAAAAAAAAAAAAACATAATCCATATGATATTATGATGTAATATTTGCATGCCATTGCAAAGTACGGCGTAATATTACAGAAAGTTAGCAAGAGCTGCGGATCACCGCTCACAAGCAGATCAGCAAATTCCGATTTGGGACTATGATCAGCAAATTTTTTTACTAGAAGGTGGGAGATTAGTATGTGTTCCAACCTCACCTGCAAGTAAAGGCATAGTCATATACACAGATCTCCGACTGAGGATATATTTAGTCTTTCCAGGCCAAATAGAGGGGTAGGGGTATTTTGGGTCAATTTCCCGCAAGTCCACTCCAAGATATGTCAAATTTACTCATCACAGAACAACAGGAGCTGCATGAATAAGATAGCTTACCTTCAGGGTAAGCCATTCTTCTCTATTGATTGAAAAGGAAATATGATCACAGGCATTACTTAAATGAAAAATAGTGGAACTACTCATTGCTGTCACAAATAGGAATTCCCAGTTATGATAATTGACAGAAGCTGTGCTTTAAATGAACAAGCATCATGAAAAATCAGTGAGGAGAAATTTACGAATATTGATTAAGCCATAGGTGATAGGTCCTGTATACCTGTTGCCTTATAGTCCAAAATGAAAGATTCATGAAATTCCAACAGTTGTTGCTAAGGACTTCTTGTATTTTACAAAGCCCCAAGCTACTAGCTTAACCATTGGAGTTGAAATGAAAAACTAGCTCAGGCAAACTAATTTGCTTGACAATAAGAGGAAGAAGAAGCTAACCTATATTGATAAGTGAGATATATTTAAATAGCTAGTAGCTGACCATAGGAATAAAAACTAGCTAACAAGGGGAATAGCTTGAAATCTCTTATGGCATGACAAATTTAAAAGCTAATTTGGCAATCAGTTTGTCGTCGGAGATTCTCTATAACGCTTAGTTTGAAGGACCTCCCTAACAGAATTATCATCACATTTCTCTCAGCATAGGGCATAACAACATAGGCAACACGTAGTAATAATGTTAACAAGAAACCAAGTACAGAAGTGGCACCATTTACCATAACCCACACACCGACCCTAACCCCAATCCTAGGGAGTCAAGCATGCTGCTCACTATAATTCACTTATACTTGCAAAATAGAGACCCTAAATACTAAGGAATTAAAACACCCAAGGGAAGAAACTTCATAAAATCTGCACATTTACTTTCACTTGCACCAACATACTGCCAAGGAATTGACCAGCTTTAACAATCCAACATGGCAACAGTCTGCCGATCTGGCCATAAGCCAACCACTTTTCTTAGCCACTAAACACTGGTATCGTTCATATGGATAACTAAATACAAACAAGGGAAGTTAAGTTGCACTTAGTTTCAAAATGCAGTTCTGAACTAGTTTCCGAAATACAAGTCTCTGGACTGTATAATCAAAAGGAAATGAAAATAATAGCTTGGATAAATCTATTCTCCACAGTTCACATCAAATGCCATCTCAAGTTCGAAGTAGATTAGCAGAGGCTCAGTATTCACCTACTTAAGAGAATTTCAAGCAGGAATTTCAAGAACCAAAGTAATGGTGTGCAGCAACATCGGTCTAGTCAACCTTTTCGTATTCAATATAAGAAGGCAAAGGGAGTCATCAATATTCCATATAACTGAATTCGAATTAAGCTAAAGAAACAATAAGGCGGCAATACATCAATATTGTGCAATGAACACTTCTTATATAACAAACATTTAACAATTCCATATGACCATACATTTACATTGCCACTATATGGATCAGTCCGTGCATTACATTACCCTTTTACTCATGTCACTCTTCATACCCAAATGAACACGCCGACGAAATCTATAATCACTTCTAACATCAAAATTGCTCTATATCAACCCTTTGTTCCTGAAAATACAACCAAATCACACCCTTCAAAATCCTTCCAAAACAATGTCGAAACTTACACTAAGGCCTTGTTTGGTTTGATGTAAAATGTTTTCATAGAAAATGAATTTTCCATTTTTTCCCATTTTCCTTTGTTTGGTTTGTTAAGGAGTGGAAAACAATTTTTCAAGGGTGAAAAATTCCATCCTTAATGATGGAAAACATTTTCCTTTTAAAAACAAAGGAAGCCACATTTTCCTCTCTCCTCCTTACCTCTTTTTTTTACTTCCCTCTCATTCATCCTTACATTTCCACTCTTATTTTTTATTTTTCTTGGACTTTTCTTGTATGCAACCAAACAAAGGAAAACTAATTTACAATTGTGTTTTTCCTTGAAAATATGTTTTCCATGAAAACTAATTTTCCATTGAAAATGTTTTACATTAAACCAAACGGGGCCTAAGATCAAAGCCAAATTCATATAAATCACTCATAGGATGCCAAAATACACAATCAAATGAAGCAATCCAATTTTCACACTAATTCTCAAAAATATACAATCAAAATCCTATAAAATTGGAGAAAACCTAAATCAAAACTAAAATGAAATTGCAATTAAATTCTGGAAAAAAATACCTACGTCTGTTTGGAGAAAGAAGGAGAAGAAGGAACACGCTTATTGCGGAACATCATGTAACCAAGCGGCAATACGACGCCGATCATCATCACCATTGCTCCGATCAAGTATCTCAATGGACTTGGCGGCTCTACTTCTATCAATTTTCCAACCTGCCATTTTCCAAATTCAGTCAGAGATCTAATTCAATTAAAGGATGCCAAAATCGGTAGAAGATTCTAGAAAAAAAGCTAACTTACAGGCATTGTTGAGGAATGGAAAACACAACAAGATCTGGATTTTCTGGAATGTGTTTTGATGATGATGATGAAAGAAGAAGGAATCGGGTAATTCTTCTTCTTCACCCAAATTGCTCCTTTATGTTTTTGCAGTTTAGTATGAAGCTGGAAAAATGAACACCAGATTTCTAATTTCCCGTTTTGATTTCGGGTTGATAATGATTTCGGGTTTTGATCGTTTTGGGTTGTGATATTCGGGTTGATTCATTGACCGTTCGGGTTTGGATCATTTGGGTTGTGTTAATCGGGTTGATTCATTCATCGTTTAGGTTTTAATTGTTTTGGGTTGTGTCAATAGCGTTGATCCATTGATCGTTAGGGTTTTAATTGTTTTGCTACCTCCGTTACAGGTTATATGCAACGATTTGTCATAAAGCAGAGTGAAAAATTGTCTAATCGTTGCACATAACCTGTAATGGAGGTAGTGTTTGATTTAGACCTTACTCTCGTTTTAAGGTTGTTATTGATTAATGTTGAATTTTATTGATTAAAACATATTTTTTTCTACTTGTAAATTTAATTTCGTAAACGATATCTAAAGTAAAGAGGATATGTGTCTTGACTAATATTGATAAAAACTGAATTGTACTAACCTAAACAAATTTGTAAGTGTCAAAGTTGTCAATTAGGAGTAATATACAAGTAGATGTCAATGACTTAATAAGAAAGTCACTAAAATAAAGGTAGCATGTTGAACATGACGATCTCTCTTGTTATTTTTTATGTTTTGAAAAGTTTTCAGTATAAGAACTTTAGTTGCAATCAGACACAATAAATTCTTAATTGTTCTCGAGTACACCTATAGACAGATATATTTACAAGTGTTTTCTATTAAATCATATAATTAGTTTCTCATATTAAAAATTTTAAGGAGAAATTTTCATTAGCCATAGGTGTTTTTTATTTTTGGCATTTCATATCTTTAAGCAAAATTATGACTTAAATATTCATTAAAAAACCACTCAACCACCTTGCTAAAAAGGGTTAGAATTTTGCTTCAAACAAGAATTTGATAAAACGGAGCCCACCCAAAACGGCGTCGTTTAACTTGTTCTCTTCGCAAGCTTTACAGCGTTGCCGTTTGGACCCTACAAAAATTTTGATCCTTACCAGATGAAAGTGGTTGGCCACCATTTTTCCCGATTTCAGCTTTTTTAAAAAAATCCTGGAAAATGGGAGGCGCCCATTTTTACCATTAAGAGAGAAAAACGGAATGAATGAAAAAAAAAAGATGAATTTCTTCCGAAAAATCTCTTCACAATCCCAGTTTTCCAAAATTACTCAGAGATCCTTCAATTCTTTCAAATTTACTGCAGACTCCCTAGATCCTCCTCTTGTTCATGGCATTCATGTCTTCCATTGCCCAGTAAGTTCTTCTTATTATATTAGTTTTATTCAATTAAATTTGTGATCTTTGGCTTAATTTGATTCAAGATTGAATTTTTTTTTTTTTTTATTTTATTATTTTGTCACTGTGTTTTTGGTGGGAAATTTGAAAATTGGGTAAATTTGTTGGAGACAAAAAGGATGCAGTTGGAATAGTGGCAAAGTTATCAGAATGTTTAGCTTCAAGGGGTGGAAACATTTTGGGAGCTGATGTTTTTGTACCAGAAAAGAAGCATGTCTTTTATTCTAGAAGGTTGTTTCTTTTGCTTTTTATCTTTGTTTTCTTCTTCATTTTTAGTATCTTGATTAGTTTTGATTTTTATTTCTATATATGATGTTGCCTTCTGAATATTCCTGCAATAAGCTAATCAAGTTTCAAGTGTTATTTTTGGGAAATAAAAATAAAAATAAATAAATTGTACTTTGGTTCTTGTACACTTTATTATGATTGAACCATAGAGGGTTATATTTTATTGATTGGAATGGAGATCTTAATTGACATATAGATGGTTGCTTGATGCTTACGGGCTACGAGTATGGTCTGAATAAGTGTATCACACTTTCACTGAATCAATAATGTGGTGGATGGTGCAAAATGATGAATTGAATGAAGGATGTGATATGTAAAAATGAGACTGATTTTATCCTAAAAAGGAAACTGAAATGTCCTGAATCCCAATTCCCAAATGAGTGACACTCTGAGATATCTCTATTGGGATTGAATGAGTAGGGACTGTGTTTGGTTTTTTGATGAGGTTTTTTTTCTTTAAATAGAAAAACAGTTAGGTGGAGAAATGAAGAGCGTTTAAATTGGAACAAGTCAACTAACCCTTTTTGACTATTATATTGGAAATTAATTTTGCTATGTAGTTGAATTGGTTTGGGGATTTGAAGGAAAAAGTATGTGTATGTTTCTGTGCTTTATAGGCAAAGAAACCAAATTTTATATTAGTTGCTCACCTTAAAGGTTAACATTAAATGATAAAAATTGTGTATTGATGATTATCATCATTCATCAGTAGATCAGTATGTAAAGTTGTGCTTGCAATTTTCTGTAAGGCAAATATCACATTCTCACTTATGATGGAGAATGTGACAACTACTTCTGATTGGAGGGTTTCTTTGCCTTTTGTCTTCATTTCATCCTAGCTTAAAGGCAATGGTATCATTGTATCTTGTAGACATCTAGTTCTGCTGCACAAATGTGATGTAGATTGTGTTATCTACCAAGTTACAATGGCACCATAACATGTAGTTTATCAAGGATTGGTATTCACATATGTGAATATAACAAATGTTTGAACTCTTCTTTTACAGTGAATTCGTTTTTGATCCTTTTAAATGGCCAAGGGAGCAAATAGATGAGGACTTCCAAAAAATTGCTGAAAAGTTCAATGCAATGAAATCAGTTGTTCGTGTGCCTGATTTAGATCTGAAATACAAAATCGCAGTTTTTGCTTCAAAACAGGTCTCATTACTACATATTTTTTTGCACTTTTTTTCTTGATCAGGTTATGGGCTTGAATTTTGTCTTTAACTTTGTAGGTTAGGGTAATGTTTGCTGCACTATAATACCTTCTGGCTTCATTATTTATTTATTTTTTTATTTACAAACCTTTGTCATTTTTTTGATAGGATCATTGTCTTGTTGACTTGCTACATTCATGGCAGGATGGAAAACTGCCTGTAGATATAACTAGAGTGATAAGGTCATTGTTGAAGATACTCTGACCATGTCTTTTGTACTCTCTTTTGGTGATGTGGGCATTGACTTAAATTTTGTTTTGTGTTTTTTATTTCTTTTTTTGGCTCTTGTAGTAATCATGATAGACATCCTGATTCCCATGTGATGCGTTTTCTTGAGCGTCAGCGTATTCCTTACCATTATCTGAAGCCTGTCGCTGGAAACAAAAAAGAGGAGGAGATCTTGGATTTGGTTCAGGATACAGATTTCCTTGTACTTGCTCGGTACATGCAGGTACCTCAAGTTCCCATATGAAGTCTTTTTTCTTTTCTGTGAAACTGCAATTTGTTTGTGTAAGCCAGTATATATCCTTTTTATATATGGTAATCAAGTCCATTCTCAAATTCATTTGATTTCTTAGTATTAATGACTTTCTGTAAGCATTGTGATCTTGAAATTTAAGTTTACTGCTGGGAGAAGGAATGATATGATGAGTTTTCGAGGTTGAACTCTGGAGAGGTTAGATTATCAGTTATGATTGTATATAATTTATGTAATTAAGTCCAGAATTATGATACCTGGGGTTTATAATTCACCAGTGTATTGTCGGTTAGTCTGTTAGTTCAAATTGGCGAAATCATAAATGTTATAGACTAGAAGTTAGAGGCTAATTTAATTCTGTAAAATTTACCATGATTTAGTTATATAGATCAGTTCATTAGTTTTACTTCATGATGATATATGGAAATATGAAGTACCAGGAAGCTGCTAAGATGTGTGTTGAATATTGGTGGCCTACTAGAGTCAAAGACAACCTCCTTTTTCCATGTTGCTCATGTGTTACTTCTAGATTCCAGTTGTTGTAGGAAGCTCGATTCTCATTTCTATAATCTGATATTCTGATTATTGTGTTGCTTTTGTTTTGCTTCTAGTATCTAAAATCACTTGTCTGTTCCCCTGTTTTTAATTATTATTTTATTTTGCAGATATTATCAGGAGATTTTTTGAAAAAGTATGGAAAGGACGTCATTAACATCCACCATGGCCTTTTGCCATCATTCAAGGGTGGGAATCCATCAAGACAGGTTCGTTTATTTCTCGTCTATGGCTCTTGTCATATCTCTCTTTGCAAGGTATTTTGCTTGCTTCTCATGCTCATATTTCGTTGTTAATTTTGGCAGGCTTTTGATTGTGGAGTAAAAATGATTGGTGCCACAACTCACTTTGTAACAGAAGAACTTGATGCAGGACCAATCATTGAACAAATGGTATGTGCTTTTATTTATGTATTTATAATCTTTTATTTTTCCACTGGTCCATTTGAGCCTACATAAGTTGAGTGATTACATATGTGCTTGGTTTCAAAAAAAGTGCAAGTAATTATTTATTTGGAACTGCAGGTTGAGAGAGTTTCTCACAGGGATAACTTGCGAAGTTTTGTACAAAAATCAGAGAACCTTGAGAAACAGTGCCTCTCAAAGGCAATAAAATATTACTGTGAGCTACGCGTTCTACCATATCTGGATAACAAGACCGTTGTGTTCTGAGTGGAAAATGGTAGAGATTCAGCTAATGTATGTATATACAAACATTCATTTGACTTAGATTTTGACAAGGAAATATGATTATTCTTAAAGAGAAAATTGAGATAAATATATTCAGCTTCCGTTGCCAAATGTGGGTCAAATAAAATGCAATTTATTTACTATGATTACGGTTGCAAGTCTGCAAGTGTAGGTCAAGCAAAATGCAATTTTAGGCTAAGTTTGAGCTTATATGGTGATACAATATCTTTGTTTTTTCCTCTTTGCTCTGCTACTGAGATTTTTAGTATCTCTAGTTCTTTAGCCTTCTGAGATTATTCATGCCTCTGAGTCTGTAAAAACAATACTCGTATACTGCAACTTTACCTGCTGCTGTCACCCTGTTTTCGATTTACTGCTGTATCTTCTCTCTTAAAACATTCCAGTGTAATTGTGTGCTTTATGATGCCCTGTCCTTCCCTCCCACCCTGAAAGAAAAATTAAAAAAACTGGGTAACCAGTGCTTACCTTCTAAGTTGACAACAGTCTCAAAAAGAGATTGAAAGATCAAATGGAATCCAAATTCTGATCAGAAAGAGTAGTAAAGTGTCAAAGTAATCATCTTTTCTAAAGGAATTAGATACATCATATATGTGAATGTCTGAGGTCCTCTCCATATTGATTACTTGTATAGTGGATATGGTAATTACATGAAAAAAGTGAAGGCTTTCAGTTGTTGTAGAATTCTCGCTTTGTCAGAACCCAGACTTCTGCTATCCTAGGTAAGTTGGCTATCTGCTATGCCTATTTAGTTCATAGATAGACTGATAAGAACTTTGAGTGAAGGGAATGTTCTATAGGACTGCTATTTATTCAGATCTATAATAATTGGAATATTGGGAGATAAGATAAGCTAAGGTTAGGATGATGATTGTGGCCTAAATGCGTATGTTAGGAGATAAGATAAGATAAGCTAAGGTTAGGACTGCTATTCATTCAGATATATCAAAATTGAAGAGAACCACAGTAGGGTCAGAGTAGTAAATACATGTATTCAGATGGAGAACTGGCTACAGGGATTTGGACATTTCTGATACCAACAGCACAAGGCATTCACTTGGAGAATGGAAAGAATGAGAGAAAAATGAGCATCTAAGAAATTGAGGGAAATTAAAGATTACAGGATAAAATGTGTAAAATAGGACTTGGAAAACTTAGGTTTCTAAGACTAGTGCGTTGGAATTTGGTTAATGTTGAGGCAAGTAGAGACATTCAAGTGAGTGGATGGCATCTTGGTCTGAAGTCTGAACAATCGACCCCATATTTGTGATCAAAGCTCTGGTGTTGTTGTGTGTCACAAAAGAGACTACAGAGGGAAGGGGATCTCTTTGTTTGTATAGATAAATGGCAACAAGTTTGGAAGGGCATTAGAGGAATCCATTTTCTTTCCACTTCTAATAAATCTGGAAGAGCATTACAAGACCATCCATTTTCTTAGCTCCTTTCCTTTCTCCAGGCTCCCCTTCCTTTTCCCTTGATTGTTATGAAGAATAAAAAAAAGGTTAGTAGAACATTTATGGCGAGATGGTTTCTTAAGTTTATGGTATGGCGGCTGAAGCAGGAAAGAATATGTAGACAATGCAACAATAACTTAATCTGAGAAAAAGCATTTATAACTGATTTTTACATAGTTCCTTTGAACATTGCCTGTGGCTGTTGGTACTGTACCAAGTACATTTCAGTTATTTCAGTACAATATGCCACCCTTAACCCCCCTCCCCCTTTCTCTATCAGTAATATGTAACATTAGTTTCCATCATATTACCAAAATCCCTGATCTTTATGCACATACAAGAAATCAACTAAGAATGACTAAGAATTCTTATTTGACATTAATACGCTGCAACGAGCTGTCAATGTCTTCGATACAACATACTTTATCTAGCATGCTTTGAATCCCATCAACCCATTGCTGCTTGTGGACTTTGTTCTTGCACTTGAACTCCAAAAACCCTTGTGCTGTCTTAAGTCCAAAATAAGCCTCTAAATTCTCCCTTTCTTTTCTGAAGGGCCATGTTGAGATCTGATCACAAACTTCATAGACTAGACCTGTTACAACAAAATAACTCATTTTAACACATGATTACAGTTGTTAGTTTGGAAGAGATCTTGATATTGAAGGTAATAATTAAGCTTACATTTGTCCTTCTTTGAGAAAGCACCTCCTACATGCTTGCTTTTTAATTTAAGTATGACCTGTTTATCAGAGTTAATGTCAGAAACTGATGGAAAATGCTCAATTCTGCTGTCATTTCAGGAAATTGTCTATACCTGAGATTTTTTGTTGATGTAAACTGTGACTTGCTTCCATCTTAACCCACCTGAAAATTAAAACGCGCAATTTTTAATATTAAGCAGAATTTGGATATACCAACTTATGATCTGTCTCTTCTATTGATAATTAATCATATTATAAAATCCTATATAAAAATTGTAATATGATCTCAATGATTTGGGTAGTCATCCATGTTTGAATCAGAATGATGTTTCAATTAAAAATTGTGCTGAATTATTATTATTTACACCAGCCCTCTAAGTTGACATGTAGCCGACTAAGACTTATTTAAGTATTAGTTCATGGGCAACATGTCCATCAGTTCATGTTAGTCAATGAAGATGATCTTGCTAATTAGACCTGGTTAAACCAGTAATTAATTCAAATTTTATCCATTAAAGATTAATAGTGCTAAAATTTTAATTTTCAGCCAAGACATACCTTTCTTTGAGTGCTGCATTAGTTCACCAATGCAGGGGAATTTCGGCTCTTCAGTTTCACTGTGGTAAGGATCAACGCTACTAGCATCGCTTAACCCTTTATCGCAGGGACTGATAGCAGCATTCCTCTTTGCATCTTTTGGCAACCTTGACCTTAATGCTGCTTCTGCTCTTAATGCTGCAATTAGGACCAAGAACAAAAGGCTTGAATTAATCACAAAAATTCCAAATCATAGCTGAACAGAACATAATCTACAATAATTCAATCACTTGAAATAGAATTAACAATTATACCAGTTGCAGCAGCTGCTGTCAGAGTCATCAGATCACCAGGGCTCTGAATATCAACAGCTGATCTGACAGCTGACGCAACACGATCATGATCAGCTCCTGCCTGCTCAGCAATCTCAATGCAATGGGATGCTAAGAGCTCAGTAGCTGATGCAATTGCCCTGCTCATTTTGGAGACTGACGAGGAATCATCAGGTGCCGCAACAGCAGCAAGTGCTGCTGCAAGGCCTGCAATTGAGAGCGCAGCGTGCATATGAGCATTCTCTGCTCTTGCCCTGTCCTTTTTCCTAAACGAGTTGAGATTTGATTTCGAGTCCTTATGGTGATGAAACCACTTTCCTATTCCCCCATTCGCCGGTGGTTAGGATTACTCTTCGACTTATCAACCTGCTCAGTTTTAGTTACAGAAAAGATTAACATCTTAAAATTTCCGCCCTCTCTGAATAAACCAAAACGGACATTGAAAAACACTGACAGAAAGTAGCAGTAGAATGTATAAAAGAAATATAATTAGGGAAAAGCCATTAAAATTTACTTTTTTCAAAACCCAAAATTTTTCAGCCTCTGATGATATCAGAAATATCCACATCAAACTCTTAAATGTGTTAATTTCTAGTTTTCTACCATGTTTTCTGATCTAAAATACTTAAATTAGCATCATACTGTTAGTAGTATAACATAAGAAACAACTAGAGAAACACCAAACACGACAACAACGACAACAACAACAACAACAACAACAAAAGCAACACAATAAGTTTAACATCCAACATGAAGATACAAGAATACTTACAATATGAGGAGGTGAGCTAGATGGTTCTGAGATGAAAGAGGGGGAGTCAATGAGATGCTTATCAAGAAGAAAATGCTTGTGTTTATTAGCAAGTGCCTTAGAAATTTCTTCAGCTGATACACTCCATGATCTTGACAAGAATTCCATTGGCTCTTTCGGTGTTTGTGGTTGAACAACTAATGGTAGTGATTTTGCTTGTTTTAGCTCTTCTTCTACTTCGCCTAAACCATTTAATTTGCTTTTCTTCCAACTTAGATTTTGACCTGTTTTCTCCATATTTTTTTTTCTAACGTTATTTCTAGTTGAAAAATATCAAGAATTTCCTGGGAAATTACTTATGCCAGCTTGCTTGTTTCCTGTCAAAGAAAATTCAAATACAATTTAATTAGATGTCATTTGAAACTATACCAAAAGTCAGATTTTATAACTAAGTTTTGAAGGTTTCAAAAGTTTAGTGAGAGTGGATTAAGTGGTAGGATGCACTATCAAATAAAGAAAGAAATTGTACGAAATTTTAAGGAATTCACGTAGATTTTTTTCGCGATTTTGAAAATGAGAGGTACCCATGTAGAAGAAAATGATGCATATTTTGTTGGCAAAAAATCTACCTATTATAAGTTGCTAACAAAAACAAAACCCAAAAAAAAATCTTCTTAACATTATTAGAAGGAAAACACCTATACAATGAAGAAAATTAAGTGGAACCCATGTAATTTAAGAGAAATAGATGCTTTTCTTTTGTATACCAACCTTTTAGAATTAGATAGCAAGAACACTTGAAATTTGAGTATATGTCCACTTGTGTAAGACATGCATATATATACCACACCAAAAAGTAAAACAAAGGGCAAAAAAGCTAGGACAAAATCCTATAAAAAATAATATTATTTCAATAATTCAAAATAAAAATAAAAATAAAAAAAATAAAAAAAAAGAGAGGAAAAGAAGTATGAGTGAGGTTTAATGGAAGAAGGAGATATTATAATAGAATAATTAATTAAAGTATGCTTTGTAACAATAAAAAGGATTAATAATATAAGGAAGCAAACAAGGGAGAAGAAAATAATGCGGTTAAAGTGGGGGGATGCTCCACTACACTCGTGCATCTAAGCGCGCATATCTAAGCCCAAACCTTATTATTATAAGTTGCCATTTTTGGGTTTATTTGAAAGATTATACTTGAATAATTTCAATAATTTTAGTTGGTGGGCGAAAATTCTTACGTGTAATTAGGTGTATCTATTATTAGGCGTACTTAAAGATATATTTATTTTTGTTCATTTAACAGTTTTTGTTAAACGTTTTCTTTAGATGTACCTATTATTTTTCTCTATGAATACATAGTAAAAAAACGATTCTCAAATTTGGAAATGATATTAGATTTGGCCTACCTAAAATTATTTTCTAATATTGATTTCTTTGACTATAGATTGGCCGTTGATTATTGCAATTGTTGGGGGAGAATTAAGACGTAGAGAAAGGCAAACTTTCGGTTGGAGCTAGTGAGGTTTAATAAAATATTAATATTTTGCCTATCAAAAAAAAAAAGTATTAATATTTTGGGTAACCCCAAAAATTAAGGGGGTGTATGTGTATGTAAACTTGTGTAGGGTGTATCAGCCGTTTCATGAACCTTTGACTATTTAAGATGGTCTTGGTGTGATGCCCCATGGTGGTTAGTACAAGTATTAATATACTAGCATGCTTTATAATTGGCGTTAATTTGCTTAGTAGATTGCACAAATGTTTTAGTTGGCTTAAAAATTAAGGGACTATTTTGACCAAAGGAATTGAATAGAATAATTTGAAGACATTTAGATTACTCTATCTACTTGGCTTTAATTTTGACAGGTAATAATGAAGTTATGACAAAGTGATAGTTGTAAGATTCACATAGCTTGCAGTTACCACTTAAAAGTGTATACGGAATATGTTACGATTTAAATTTGTCCGAGCTATAATGTACTGTCGTGTTTATTTATTTAGAGGACGATATTTTAAATGAGATTTCATCTCACACCTTGAGTATCATTTTCAAGTGCATTAGGGTGTATAATGTTGTCGTCTTTTTCTATTGGATGAGTTGAAATCTAAAGGTTAAAATCTTAAGGTTATTGTATGCTGCTCAACCTATGTAGCAAATAACACAAATCATCTACTAGTATGTAGTATATATAGTATATACGATAACACAAATCATCTACGATCTACCTATGTACTTGTAGCAGATTAGCAGTTATACATGTAATCAAGAGAGATGGATTAGCTAGTTATTACATGTATAATTTAATCATCACTCTTTTAAAGATGTACATTATCAATTTTTTTAAAAAATAAGATCACAACATAATTAAGATAGTTATATCAAATAATGTAGACAAAACTGAATGTTGATGTATATTACAGCAGCAAACTAGTACTAGTGCTACACTTTATACATCATACACACATTTGCAACAAGCATAATCATGAGTTTGTAAGTGAGATGTTGGACCCAAAAAAGCGATGAAATACTACTTTTGGGTCGTCAAATCATATTATTTGTATGATATGATGATACTAATATAATACTCCTAGAATGTGATTATACACTATGCTTTATTGATGCATGTTTCCTATTCATTGTTTTTGCAGTAGCAGCTAATCACAAACGTGCAATTGCCAACGAAGTTGTATGCCAATTTACACAACAAAACTCTCGATATTTTAAAACTAAGTTACCTCTATTTTGTTCCCTGGTTATCTTAAAAATGTCGGTTTGGCTTCATAGTTTATGAGTTAGGACCACAGCCAGTTTGCCACGTTCGATTTTGAGCTTCATTTAACTTAGCTTTGTTTTAATTAAGGATTCATGAAATTAATAATGATATTATTTCATTTAATTTGGGTGTAGTACACACGTGAGAAAGGAATAAATGAAATAGCTAATTAGCTAGGAAGTGTGTGTAGCGTGAATATAATCAAGGATAAGAGGTTGGAACAATATGAAAAAAATTAACGTGGATAGTTGGTAAACATGTATGGAAAGTTTATAAGATGTATGATGAACGAATAATGATCTTATAGGTTCAATAACGTATAGTCGATGATCATGATATACATACAAGTTGATACTTGATAGCTTTATGCATTTACATAAATCTTGCCAAAGAAAGCCTATACTTGATTTAAAAGTTGTATCATCTACAATTGTATAGAGTACTTCGTATAACAGTACATATGCATGGCTTACCATTTTGTTAGCACCAATTATCTTTGAGCCTTACAATCTTTAATACTCTATAACAAATCAGTGTAATCTTACTAATAAATTTTTATGAAAGATAACCAATTAATCTAAATACCTACCTAAGATTTAAAATCTTCAACTAAAAGTAAGATTTATTTGATTCTTTTCATCTTTTAATTCTCTGTTTTTGTACGACATTATAAACATCCCATACATTACACAAGTCTCAGTACAATGCTTCTACGTGGTGATGGACTGATGATTACTCTATATTCTTGTAACAAGAGCAATGATCATCAATAATCTTGCGTGTAATAAAAATGCAACTTTAGAGCATGCAGTGATCATGTAAAATAATTCAAATTTGGGCATTTGGCTTTATAACAAGGAAAGAATATCAGCTTTAAAAATCAACTTTCTACACTCAAACCAGTTAATGCTTAACATGGCTGGAATCATCTTAAGCAGGCTGTAACTCACGTGACAGGAGAGAGAAAAACATAAACCTGACTACCTGAGTTGAGATTTAAGACATCCAATTAAAAGTCACTTTTCATGGTCAAATCTGACCTTGACTTTAAAACCTGAATGAAACGACATTGGATTGTTGTTGTTATGTTCTTGGCCCACCATGACAAAGCTTTAGGGTCCAAATTGCATACTTTTGGCTTTTTTTAGTGTTAGTGCTAAAGTAGATTTACACTCACACAAAGGTTTGAGTAAGATGTAGTGAAAGGAATCATTTTTGCTTCATGATCATGAAAGTAAATACATGGTAAAAAAGATGCACATGTAAATTGGAAGAGATAAAGGAGATGGAAGTAATAATTCTTTCAAACCTATCCACTTAGGTCCTTACCGTTCTATTCAATCATTTCACTATGTTGATGTTATTGTCATTGATTAAATTGATCTTTATTCTCTTCAATTCAGAAAAAAATACAATAATTTGACTTTTACACTATTTATATATCTTATTATTATCAAACTTTTATTGTACATATCTCGACTATTAGCTTTAGTCTAACCCGTCACATGGCTTACAATTTTTCTTGTGTGAGATCTGGTAGTACATTGGAAAATGCTTGTCACTGAGTAATTGAGGATGCTAGTTCAAATATAGATGCTCTACAATGGCAACCATGGAGAGACTGAGCTGTTGTTTATTAGGGAGGTATATAGAATTAAACGTAGGTTGGGTAGTAGTTTCAAATTTCTTAATGTTTTTTTCTGAAGCGACATCGAAAAAATATGCAACAAAGATAGGCGACAGTAACCACTCAAAGTCATACAGAATAGCTGTTAGTGTGGAGTTGGACAATTGAATCACAAGTAGAAAGCTTCTGAAACTACCTCTCCCAGCATTAGTTCTTCTGGAAAAGGTGAATAAACTCAAACAGACGTCAAAAATAAACCAAATTACAATTAGTTTGAAAAATGGTTACTCTTTAAGAGAACATCAAAAACTGGTTTGCACTGTGAATCTAGGAAGCAATATCAAATACTGGTTTGCACAATCAATCAATTGCAGAACTCAGACTGAAGCTATAAAATTATGCAAGCAAACAAAAACTGACTCCCGACAAGACAGACTTGCAACCAAGTGAATTGAATTGGCAATTGACGCCATTCTAATAGATATCTATTCTCCCCAACTCGGCCAAAACATAATTATGGCCCAAAGATTGCACATGGAAGCAAAGGACGCTTGGAACTTTTGTGATCAAAGTATCCGATTTCAATGCTGGAATATACGGATCTGTATGTGCTTACATAAAATCATAATCATCAACAGGATCATAACCACCAACAGCTATATCATCATCAGGCTTATCAACAAGAAGCTGCTTCTTCTTTAAGCCTGCAAGAAGAACAAATAGATGTTCATAAAAAAATTCCTGACAGGACATGTAAATTTTCAAAATGTTGAAAAAGCAGTGGACAAGCAATATTATGGGTATCCAAATCTCTTCACAAGCTGCAGAAACCCATTTGAGTAACCAAAAAAAGGTTTACAAAACATCCATAAGTTGGGCCTTTAACCCTAGTTGCTTAGATAATTTGACGACAGAGGGTAACTTAAAGCACTTAGAGGTGGATTTTGTTACTTTTCTAATGCTAATTAAAATTATTATCAGACAAACAGCATTGTCTGAGTATATACAAGAACACAGGAGTCAACTGTACTCAAAGAGCATGTTGTAATTCATGAGCATCCTCAGGATCTAATATATAGGTAATTGGTCCTCATAAATCATTGTAAATCAATTTTAAATAATACGGCTAGCACAACTTATATATGCATTCAAACCTAAATAAAAGAGCAACACAAAGATGACTACAGAATGTGTAAAAGATTATATTGGACAAAAAAATCACCATGATTCAGTATAAACAAAACCCTTAGACCACCAGCCAGAAAGCTCACAAGTTACATTACTCAATTTCACATCTCACCATGATGCCTAGTACTTTTTTTTTTTTTTTTTGAGGCAATGATGCCTAGTACTTGAACAACAAAAAAAACCCTAATAATTGCCAAATAAGCTACAGCAGACAAGTTAAGAGGCAAAATATCGAGAACTTTGGTCATATATCCAACATTTTTAGCAAGTCTTAGTTCTTAACTCAATCTACTAATCCAACGGAAGCTCCTCACGATGTCAGTAAGATGGAAAAGAAATGATGGTTCAGATAAGCATAGTACACAGCAGGATGATACACATGTGGATTTTGAAAATATGAAAATACATCAGCTAAAAAAAAAAAAAAAAAAAAACCAAAAAAGGTCCCAACTAATAGGTAAATTCCTTGAGGGCTCTCCTTGTGGCAATTGAGTCTATCTACAAGTGGGGTAGACAGAATACAACTGTAAAGAAGAAAAGGTTAAAGGCAAGTGAATTGTTGAGCAGCAGAGATTAGTTTTTATTCTAATATATACATGTTGGTAAACCGTTATAAGGAATATGATTTTCGAAAACAAAACCTACTCTTCTATGAATATTTTATATTAATAAATCTGTTATGAACATAACTGGAACTTCATGTAAGTAAGGTCACAAAGAAAGTAGTAGTCCATTACATAATGAACTATTGAACTAATAAACAGGATAATCCGTCTTCACCAAAATACCTAATGAGATCTACCTCAATATTTATAGTTTCACACTCCCTGCTCATCCAGTCATAACACCAGAAAAATGAAGGTATGTGTATGCCCAACCAAGCTAATTCACCTTAAAGAAGGACAAAGCAGAAACTGATGCTTCTCAATTTCAAACTATAAGGACAAAGCAGAAATTGATGCTTCTCAATTTCAAACCATAAGGACATAGCAGAAATCACTTCTCGATTTCAAACTATAAGGACAAGGCAGAAATTGATGCTTCACAATTTTAACTAAGGTAGAAAATTGAAACAATAGGCATGCATGTTATTTGATGCTAAGTTCCATAAAGAGGGCATATTAGAGAATAGACGAAAACACAAATACATCACACAGCTTTGGCATGTTCTTTTTCTTGTAGAAAACAGGAAATAGTAAAATACATTAGAAAACACAAATACATCACACAGCTTTGGGTCCAATTTGAGGTCAGAATTAACAAAAAATTATCGTAAATGTTTTGTTTTGCCTACTAAAAATACCTTAAGTTGCGTAAAACAAGGCATTTACGATAATTTTTGTCAATTCTGACCTCATATAGGAACCAAAGTACAAAAATGACCCCCAAAAGGACCAAAATACTTTTTTAGCATGAAAATCGAAAAATTATTTTAAAAACAGTTAGAGTTAACGGTTTTCTTATCGACAAGTGGTGAAAAAAAAAATAGAATTATTTTGTTGGTAAAATAAAAATTTGAGAAGTTTTGGTGGTAAAAAACAATTTCGTGATTTTTTTATAGTAAAAGTCAAAAAAAACTTTATTACTCCGTACTCAGACATTTTTCCATAGAGAGGTGATGCAATATCATTCCATGACTTTAGTAAGTTTCAAGCTTGTATGAAGTGACTGCTAATGTTGAATATTAAGCTTGAATCAAATCAGAAATTTATTAAAAGACAGTAGAATCAACACCTTTCTAAGTTTGGCCAATTGACCATATTGGTATATAAGTTAACACCCTTATGACATATTGGTATATAAATTATTGCCGGCGACATATTGGTATAAAAATTAACATGTGGCGACATATTGGTACATAAATTAACAAATTGTGACATTTACCCCTATTTTTTCTTCGGATGAAAGAGCGTGTTGTATACTTCATAAATTTGTTTTAATTACTTTTGCAATCTTATTTATTATCATAATATACTTATTCAGCACCAAATAATAATTTTTCCCTCTTCCCTTCCAATACAATAACTTTGATAAATCAATCAAACGATAAAACCCCAAAGAACTAATAAACAATAGACAAAATCTCAATATTAGTTATTTAATTTCAAAACCAATTACTAGTAGACGCTAACTTTCATTATTACTTCATTTGTATTATACCCACAGCTTTGTAAATCAACAATATAATAAGAAAATATATATATATGAGTGTTTTTTTAAAAAAAAAAAAACCTACCCTTGTGATGCTTCAATGACCAACAGCTCCAACGCCCTCAATACATTCAAGCTTATATCCCTTTGCTCAAGCTTTCCTATTCATTTTCCCCTATCTTCTTTCTCATCACTTTTGGGCTTTCAACTTTTTTTTATTTTTTTTGGATTTTTACTTCATAATTTTTTTAAATTAATATAAAACGTAGAGAAAAGTACAAAAAACAAAATGTCAAATAAAAGTTATTAGCACTAAAATTAAGCGCGTGTATCATACGCATATCCTCCGACGAGAAAATAGGGGTAAATGTCGCAATTTGTTGACTTATATACCAATATGTCGCCACATGTTAATTTTTATACCAATATGTCGCCGACAATAACTTTTATACCAATCTGTCATAAGGGTGTTAACTTTTATACCAATATGGTCAATTGGCCTTCTAAGTTTGATGGAATCTAAAAATTTAAAAATCATCTACTGTTCATAAATAAGAATTTACAAAACTCATCTCATACCACTTGTTTAGAGTACTTTAATTCAATCAGAAACCAAGATCAACCCCACATTGGACTCTTATCTTAGTTTTAAGGGCGCAAGGTGCACCAAGTCCTTGGAGCCTAGGCGCAAGGCACTCGCCTTTTGTAGGTGAGGCGCACATTATTCATATAGAAAAGAATTAATAGTTTCTATTAAATAAGTGTAAAAATGAAATTATGAGAAAAGGTGAAAGGGCCAGGTGATCAGTAACAAGGGATCTTCAAATTGAATTATATGAATGGAATTTCTCTCTCCACTAGAATTGAAGAAAACCTGCCCATAACAAAGTCTTGTGGTATACTTTAGGAAAAATAAACTAACACAATAGATATTGATGCTTTAAAACATGAAGTGCAAAATAAGGCTCAAGAAGAAGCCTAGAAAAAAGCACAAAGGCGCGCGCCTTTTGTAGGTCTTTGAACCTCAAAGAACTAAGGCACCAACTCTTGAGCCTCACTGCGCTTAGGCGCACCTAAGGTGCGCTTTTTAAAACTAAGACTATTATTGTATTTTCATTACACACACAACTAGCCATTTGGTGAATATATGCTGGTTTAAGCTTTCACTTTGCTGACTAATAAGCAATGTAGTAAACAAATAGTACAAGACTTGTTCCAAAGTTAGCTAGTTGATGTCATAAAAAGACGAAAAACTACTGATAGTAAAGACAGTATTTTTAAAGTGAAGAGTCATCTTTACAATCCTTTCTACACCCGACCCGTATTCCAGGTAGAAGGCAGGGAGGGAATGATACTTCTACTTAACATATTACTTGATAATCAAAACAGGTATAGGCAGCCAAACTTTACCCCCCACCACCCTACGAAAAAAAGGGACAAAAACCAGGTATAAAGCAATAGGTCGCAAACTTTACCAACACAGGTCTTACACAGAAGCATACCTGTTTTCTTTTTACCAGCATTGGCCTCTTTTTCTGCCTTCAGCTTTTCATTTGCAATTGCTGTAACAGAGGAGGCAACTTCCTTTGCATCTGCAGCTTTTAAAGAAGTTGTTGACAGCCTCATCACTGCCTTCAGTAGCCCAATATAATGGAAACTCTTCTGCATTGAGAAAGAAGTAAACCTTTAGTAATACATTCCTGCATTGTCATATCTGTCAACGAGAAGATATAACTAAAAAGTACAGAGAAAAGGAAACAAATGGAGCTGATGAGATCACACCTCATATGGACGAAGCTTATGAGAAATCAGCTCAGCGTATTCTAAAAAGTCACTTTCAGATTTTGGTATGAAGTTGTCTAAAGTCTTGTCATCACCCTTTCTAGCGAATAGCTCTGTTGTGGCCTTGTAATCTGCTTCTTCCACAAGCCTGCAACAAAAAACAAAAGCTAACTGAAATTACAATCTCAAAAATATAGCGAACTGCATCACTATCTTCAGGTTGAAAGGAGCCTACACATTATGCAGTCCCAATTAAGTAGGGCTGTAATGATGCTAAAGAGATATATGTACAGGGGGAGGCAAAGTAGTTATTTCATTAATACAAATGGAAGTAAAGAGCTGACAAGGTAAGTAGCTTAGTAGCATACACATGCTAAACTAAATTTTTTACTAAAAAAAAAAGCATCACGAAAACCCCGAAGAAATGGATTTCCCATCTTCTAGAACTTCAAAGAGTGGGAAAGAGTGTGATACCGTAAGAAGGAAAGGTGATTTATCAGTAATTTACTACCTAGGCTACGTAAGTTACTTAAATTCTAAGGTCCAATTAGCCCAATCAGATATTAGCAATTCAAATGATACACAATAAACTACAGATCTTGGCACAATAAACCAACTTGCAAAGTGGAAGATATAACTTTAAGTTCCAGACTATTTACTAGGTAACACCGAGCCATAAATATTGGAAATTATTTTTTTGATAAACAATTCTTGATCAAGAAGACTCATGATTCCAATTCTAAAGCAATCATAAATTTAGCCTAACTCAATGAGTAAAGTTGGGAAAACCTAATTTTAGATAGCACCCTGAGCAGTGGAAAGCATGAAACAACACATTGGAAGTCTTTTGTCTTTCAGAACAAAAATTAATATCTTTTGCATACAACTATACAAGAATGGATGATCCATTAGAATAAAGAAAAAACAAAATGCCAACCATCAAGTTAAAGTGGTCAACCAAGCAGAGAAATTTAAGCTAATTGATATAAACATACTAATGAATAAGGAATCAATGCTAGCCCCAGTACTTCCTTAATCTAAGGTTTTCTTATTAGAAGGTTATTAAGTGTGTCTACAATGATATAGTTCTGCAAGCAACAGATGAACAAAACAAACCTACAAGCCAGTAAAAGTTGTTATAAAAAAGGTTTCTGATTAATTATCATGATGGTATGATCCTGAAACTAACCTTTGTTGACGCAATTTCTCTGTGACAGGATCCAACGCTGTTTCTTCCACATCTTTTCCTTTTTTCCCAGTTTCCTTTGAAGCAGCTTTCTTGGCAGGCTTTTCAGGTACTTTAACTGGTGGAGGTGCCTGAGAAACAAAACAAAAGAGCATAGAAAGAAAAACCATGAGTAGAACTTAAGGGTATTAATCAAATGTAATGATTCAAAACATACATTAGACATTGACATGTGAGACTTATTGCTATAAAAAATCTACTTGTCATTGTCAAATTCTATCATATAATAATATGAACTAGTAAATCACAGTTGAAAGAGATCTGAGGTTCAAAGGTCAAATACCAATACCCATAATGGCCATAACTTACAAAAATCTACAGGTGAAGATCATAAGAAAAAATATATATTGATGAAGACACTGTTCAACATTGGCACAAAATAACTCCACTGTAAACATACCTGCTCTTCCTCCTCCCAGGATTCCTTCACGTCATCATCATCAACATCTTCATCATCCCAACTACTTTTCAGGATATCCTTTTTGGCAACTTGTGGTGTGAAGTCCTCATTCTCTAAATCAATAGGATAGATTTATTACAGGTCAGGAATCCAAAAAATAAAAAACCATGACCAACATCAGCAAATGTGATCTCTTTGTATAGTATCCAAATTTTGACAATTCTATTCTCCTAAAAAATCAATGCACAAGGATTCTGTCGAACAGAGACTCTACATGAGAACGATTACTGCCTCACCAAAATAAGGATGAAGAGAAAAAATTTATTCCCAAAAGTTGAGCCCCCAGGCTTCCCATTAAACTTTATGCAACATGTATCTATAATTCTATAAAATCGAATCACGATTATCAAATAAGTAAAATAGCAAGATATGTTGACACCCGAATTTTTCACACTTAAAAGACATAAGCTTTCGATTACTTTCACACATATAGTGAATTATTAAGTTTAAGGATTCACTTCTATGTCTAAAGATTGATGACACCCGATTTCTTACCCTTATAAGACACAAGATTTCGATTACTTTCACACCTATAGTGAGCTATTAAGTTTAAGGATTAACTTCTATGTCTAAAGATTGATGACACCCGAATTCTTACCCTTAAAGACACAAGTTTTCGATAACTTTCACGCATATAGTGAGCTATTAAGTTTGAGGATTACCTTCTATGTCTAAAGATTGATGACACCGGTTTTCTTAACCTTAAAAGAAGCAAGCTTTCGATCACTTTCACACATATAGAGAGCTATTAAGTTTAAGGATTAACTTCTATGTCTAAAGATTGATGACACCCGATTTCTTAACCTTAAAAGACACAAGCTTTTGATTATTTTAACAGATATAGAGAGCTATTAAGTTTAAGGATTACAGTCTATGTCTAAAGATTGATGACACCCGATTTCTTACCCTTAAAAGACGCAAGCTTTCGATCACTTTCACACATATAGTGAGCTATTAAGTTTTAGGATTAACTTGTATGTCTAAATATCAGAAAATATCAATATCAAGCTTTCGAATACTATTGCCATAATCTAGTAAGCCACTTTCAAATATTCAAAAAATAAATCCTTTTTCTCTGAACCCCACTACCTACCAATTCTGAATAGTAATAATAATAACAATCAAATTTAAGAATAATAATCAAAATCTTACCCCAGTCGTCCTCCATGATTGAATGCTTGTTAGATGAAATCAATCAACAATTCAAAGATATCAAATTCACCTCAAACCCTAACCAAAAAAAAATCAATTCAATTAATTTGAGGAATTCCACAGTAAGGCTAAAAATCAAAAACACATGCAAAAAAAAAAACAAAAAAAAATCATACCTCGCGAATCTCGTATGAGTTCGAGTTCGCGCGGTGCAAATCGATGAATTCAAGGGTCTGAACTTAGAGTGAAGAACTACAATTGAATTTTGATTAAGTTGAATTAGGGTTTAGAGGGCGAAACCCTAGATCTAAGAATTGGAAGTAGAATAGATGATTAGAGGAAAGGAGAAATTGGGGGTTTGATTAGTCTGGAAAAAGTTAGCTACTTTGCGAGTAGAATGGTGGAATACTATCGTCAAAGTTGCTACGATTATCGTCTGCGCTCTTTGTTCTGGTGTATGCTTGATGCTTTTTATGGGTTGAGAGTCCTGAGACAGTGCGGATTATCGCAAGCCCAACAATATATACGAGTATAATCCAGCATGGAAATTACCAATCACCACAAATATGGCAGCTTTTAACAACCAATCGCAATCGGTATACAATACTCCCTTCGTTTCTATATATTTTTGTCTTACATGAGTAGTTTCTCTTTTCCTAGTTTAGAGATCTCAAATGTTGTTTCTGAAATTATTTTAGGATAGTATGTTAAGATCATTATACACTCATTTTTTTTTAACTTTATTCATTATACTTCCTAAATTACCCTTGAATTTTACACATGCCTTGTATTTTTTTTCACTTTCTCTCCCTAAATTTTGTCTATAATTGTACTTTTTACTTGTAATTAATGTATTTCATCCACTTTTATTAATGTATAGGACTCAAGAGCCAATTAATTTGACAAGAAGCTTACAAGTTTAAATCTCATCTACCACTACAATCTCATATGAGAGAACGTGATAGGCCCTGACTAGGCAATGTAGAGCAGCAGTTAGCGGAGCAGAGCGAATATTAGCAATAGAGCACGACAGAGTAGAGTAGAGTAGAGTAGAGCATGCAGGACATATTTCAGTAGAATACAACAAGGTTTCCAACACAATGCACAACAGATCAGATTTCAGCAAAGTATGAGAGCATATCAAGGCAGAAAGACAAAATAAAGCAAGCATAACAACTCAAAAAGAACAGGGCCTATATACACCAATATTAGGCTTCAACTAGGGGTGATTAACTATGATCTGCCCGATAAAATGGTGGGTTTGGACAAACCAAAAACATTTTTTTTTTAGTTAAAAACTCGAACCAGCTTGAAAAAACCCATTTTGACCGGACAATGGCTTGATACTTGATGTTAAGGCCCGACCTTAACCGAATTTTTATCACCTCTTACATGACTTTGAACGGTCTTATGTAAAGTAGTATTAGCAAGAGACTTTTCATTGCCTTCACGCAATCTTTTATGTGAAGTCTTTGAATATGCTTAATATTACTTGGTAAATCAATGTTACGAATTGAAGGACATAGTCTTAACCAACAAGCTTGAAACACAAGTAATCATTTTAATAAATTATAAATGCATATACTTTTATTATTCTTCACATCAATTTTATATGAATCAACAAGAAGCATACTTTGATAGTATCACATTATATAAACAAACTTGTATTAAGACTAAATTCAATTATAATACAAAATTAAATTACTACTAAATACTAATGAAGAAAGCAGCATCAATATGTACAATATCAGCTGATTCAACACTAATTGAAGCCATTATTGGTAACCAAGACTTAGCAGATGAAATATTACTCAGTTTATCTCCAAAATCTCTAGTCAAGTCCAAATGTATATCCAAGAAATTTCTTTCTATGATCTCAAATCCATATTTCGAACGTCGTTATTCCCTCCTTCACCCCCCTTCTTTCTCTGGCCTTTTCTTGGTTCCTACAATTATCGGTTACAACCCTGAAATCGAATATCTTTCTCTAGGTCAATATGATCATGATCACCACCCAAATGGACCGTTGATAAGCTTTCTTACCACCCAAGGTTTCAAGATTTTACAATCTTGCAATGGGTTATTGCTTTGTTCAAGAAATTATTTTGGCAAACAACACATAACAACATATCATGTATGCAATCCCACAACGCGACAATATGTTGATCTCCCTAGGAATACCTTCATGAAGGTATATCATTTCGAGCTCTCATTAGCTTATGATCCTTTAAGATCGCGTTCTTACAATGTTATTTGTGTTCAAATACTTGATGAACATCAAGGTCTATGCCAAATTTCAATTTATGAATCAATAACTGGTCTATGGATGCCTCACAATGAGCTCTTTGTCGCGCCTGAGGGAATAGATTTTGGTCACGCGGTTTATTGCAATGGTAACATTCATTGGATTAAGGGCTCTAAATCTAAGGGATTGTTTTTCAATATCGATACTAAATGCCTCAAATCATTGCCTGAATTACCAACGAAAGAGCATGATCTTCCTCATCAATGCATATACGAGCACTTTGGCCATTCACAAGGCTTTTTACAATATGTTGTTACATCTCCTAGCCTACGACATTTTGAAATATTCGAGATGAACAAAGATTACTCAAGATGGCTGTTCAAATTTAGGATCGATCTTGGTGCATTGGCGCGCAAATTTCCAAGCATGGCTCGTAGGTCTCTTGGTGGCTATATTATGGACTCGAGCTATGAGTGTGATGTGTTATCAGTTTTTCGAGGACAAAATAATAATAGTCATTATAAGGTTTTGCTCTCAATCCCCGGTGAGGTTATTGCCTACAATCACAAGATGAAAACTTCGTGGAAAGTTTGTGACTTGAAGGTTCGTGCTCAAGAGAGGCGTGTATGGTATAGAGTTTACTCTGCCTACGAATATTATGAAACCATTTCTCCTCTTTAACAATGAGGACCAATTCAAGGCATACTCTATGAATCCATGTAGACTTTGTAAATAAGTGTGAAGGCTTTGTTGTTTGAAATGTGTAGACTTTGTATTTAACTTAAAGTAGACCTGTCTTTTATTAACATTATTACAGTTTGTAAATAAAGAGGTTACCATCTCCGTGTCATAATTATTTTCGTGTATACTACTTTGAAATTTGACCATTTTTTACCCAACTCTTGTTTGTTTTCTTAAAATTCGTGTATCGTGACAAATTTTTAAAAGGAAGATTTATAGGAAGGGGTTTAAGTTAGGAAATAGGAATGAAGCAAAAAAAAAAAAAATGAAGATTTGATTTTGAGTAAGGAAGAGGAAATTCACTATGAAATCTGTACAGTAACTTTATTTCACATGTATTTATACAAAGAATTTCAATTTGTCAGAACATATCAGACAAACAGCATAAATCTGTATATACAATTATACAATTGAAGTAGTCAAGTGTTTAGACTACATATATACAACTAATACAATAGAAATTAAGTTGTTAAAAAAGAAACAGGGGAAATGCTCTCAACAAAGTCATAAACTTGATAAATACCATACCATACTTTCTTCTCTTTTTCACTTTTTCTTGATTTGTATATTTTCCTGGAAGTCTTTTCCTTACAGTTATAGGCTATAACTTCACCAGGAATGGACATAATAATCTCCTCAAATTCCCCATTATGACCGCGGAAAACTGATAGCACGTGACATTGGTACATAAAATGAGGGTCTCGAGGGTAAGTCTTCATGGACATCTTCGGAAAATGCAAGGCTAATTCATTGAGCTCAATCTTACATTTGAAATCCCATGCTGAATAATCTTTCTTCATCTCGAAAAGCTCGTAGTGGTGCAAACCTTCCATGGTAAACAAACAATACAAGTACCCTTTAGAGTGGCCAAAGTACTCACAACTACATTGTTCTTGTCTAGGATTCTCTGGCATATCATTTATCGTCTCCTTCTCTATGTCGAAGTATAAGCCCCTCTTCACCCTTTTAGTCCAATGGACTGAGCCATTGCAGTATATCCCACTCGTGAAGTCTATATCACCAGGAGCAGAGAATTCAGGTGCTTTGGAGGGTGACCAAAGGTTTGATTCCGATGAATAGATAAAGATCTTGTACATAGAATTTGAATTTTTCCTTGTTTTTGTAAGGCCAATGATCTTGTAGTGTGGTGAAATCGAAGGTTCGAACACGAGACTGTAATATACAGGGCTTACAGGAGAAAAATCAATAGGAAGGAGTTTCTTTTCTTTGATTGAAGGATTGAAAACATAATATTTTTCCCCTTTGCAACAGAGCAACAATCCATTACAAGATTGTAGTAGTGTGACATTAGTCATATCTTCAAAGGGAAAAACCGGGGTAATTGATTCATTTTGATCACCAAGGCAGATATACTCGATTTGATCATCTTTCTTAGTTCGATATTTTGGGACTAATAAGAGGCCAGAAAGTGAGGGTGGATGAAGATGATTGTACCTTGATACAAAATATAAACTCGAGAACCATAAGCGCCATAGAGTTGATGCCTTTCTAAAGCTGATGAGTAGTTTCACAGACGAGCGAACGGACACTTCACCTAGTAAATCTTGATCGTGTGCAATAGTTTCAGCTGATTTATTTGTGGTGGTTGATAGAGTAGTTGAATTGGCATTCACTGTTTGAGACATTTTCAGAACTCGAAAAGGCTCGAATAAGAAAGTCTGCAGCTCTGCTTTTTAAATACTATAACTGAATCCTTCTTCATCAAGGCAAAAGACAATGTCCACAATTTGAATAATTGATTGTCTTAATTTTCATTCTTAGCTAATTCATGCTGTTCTTTAATCTTGATGCTCAAAGATTTTGTTTTTAGATAAAAAAAAAATAATTGCGTAGTAGCATATTATTTATGATTTTATGTAGATAAAATTGTGTTGTGTTTATGATATGATGAAGTCATCATAATAAAAAGACTATTTTAGCAGTATAAATTATTGCGAAGTCCTCCTCTGTCAACTTCAATTCCAAAATAATGGATGACTGAGTTCAGTTGAGAAGGGGAAGACCACCTCAGTTAATCTATAATTAGGACTTTTTGGAGGAAGTCAATTGTTTACATTAATTTTTCCTTTAGATCATGAAATAAGCCTTTATCATCAATTTTTCGTCCATATAGTTGAGACTTTTCAAAGGGTGTCATATTGTGTGATGGTAGGTCTAATGACATGGTGCAGTGGAAATTTAAATTTTAATGGAGATCCGCCCAGTTTAGACGAGGATGGTGAAGGTTTGGTGAATGATGGGTGTGTTCGTGACGTCGTGTAGATGGAGATTATATATTATTAGTACCCGCTATAGGCCTATAGGTTGTGAGACGGGTATGGATTTTAGGTTGTACTAATTCATGCCTTTATCATAACATACCCCTCAAGATCATTCTAATTTTTATTAATTTTATTTACGAAATATAAGTTTATCACTTCTATTAGTTTATCCACACATATAAGGGTTGTATATTAATTTTCTACGTGGAAACCAAAAGTGTTAGCTCATTTAGTGTTACGTTTCTTAATAAGCTTAAATTTAATCCATAAATACTGGATTAAAAAGTCCTATTTACAATATAAAAAAAATAATGTGTACGTAAAAGCTTGTAGGAGGCTAGTGTCTATAACACTAGAACTTTCTTACTAAAAAGATTAGAAATTTCTAGCACATTAAAGTTTCCATGCACTTCAGCACTTAGCAAGGAAGTGTATAAATAATCACCCCTTCATTTGTACAACGTATATTGTATTTGAGCATTGTACTTATCTTGTATTTATCTCGAGTAATCCAAGCAAATTTAGAACCGTGTAAGGCTTTTTTTTTTAATGCCATAATTTTTACAATATTGTTAGGGTTTGTATAAATAAAGTCAAATTATTTTATTTATTTATTTATTTTTCAATATAAGTTCAAAACCTTAAGAATTAAACCTCCGATTGTTGGTTTAGACAACATAACAAATAATTAAAAAAAAACAATCATATATTGTTGGCATTATGTGTTGGAACAATATGTTTAATTTACAATTTAGAAATTAGTATTTTTCATCCCCATGATCTGATATGTTGTTGCAAAATTACTACATAGTTTTGTCTCAAAACACGCTTGATAATGTACAAATACTTGGCCATAAATATCATGAATTAATAGCATGCATGTTTAGCAAATCTCCTACCATAATACTTCATTTACAAATGTTGGTGGTTCTTTCAATCATGATTAGGTTAACTATTTGTAAATAATTCAATATTGTGTGAATTATTATATATATGAGTTAACTATATACAATATAATATTTATGTAGCAATAAATAATTTTTATTTTATAAATAATATCACGTAATTTGTTAATGCATAAATAATTTTAATATAATTTATTTCATTTTATTTCAACAATAATACTTAAAGATTACACAAGTTATGGAAATAATATCAAAAATGTGAACATCCTTTTCAATACATCAAATCAATATATGTAAACACAAATTTTAAATCCGCAAATAAAGTGTCAAAATAAATACAACAAATAAGATTTTAATAATTCAACAATTTTATTTATTACAATTTATAATATGATATTCAATCTCGATTTCAACGACACATCAATTATTTGTTTTGATGGCCTAACTTATTTATTGGTTATAAAAAAAAATTATATTGAATTAATTATCTTAAATACGAGCTTACTCCATTTGTTTGCTGGGGGTTAGTCGTGGACAGACTGGTCATGCTACTTACTGTCTCTGATAACATAAAGAAGATGATATTGTTCCTTCTCTCGAACAATAAGCGAAAAAGGGAGACGAAATAGCTAATTAAGAAAATTGAAATACAGTAGCAATTAAGACAGTGGAGTTGACCCAAAACTTGAAATTCTATCCAGAATAATCTTTGTTCATCTAGTCAAGATGTTTTTGAAAGACTTACCATGAATCTGGATTGTATGTAACATATTAGAAATTACTCTTTTAATGGTGTGACTGTACAAGATTACATACATGTATTTTTCTTATTTGAGAACAATGATGCGAACTTGAATATAATTGGAATACTCAACAAATACGATTACAGTTGTGAAATGGAGGAGAAAAATAAATGTTTCTTTTATATTCCATTTTTTTTTATAACAGGTGATTGGCCTTAAGTTCATTATCTCAACTTTAATTCCTTTCATTGCAAGCCTACAAAGCGATGCAACGCTTTAAGGTACGCGCTAAGAGTAATGCATTGAGATTGTGTTGATTGATTCAGAAGAGCAATCTTAATTATTTGTCATTTCTCTATATCCAAAATTTTTTGACATGATACTAATCTAAATTTTCATTTTTCTAAAGGTTCGATAATAAACTTTTTACAAAGCATATATTACGTGCATTGAAATGTTATCCGGTCTCTGTCAACACAATATTGTGTTGTCCTTGCATCCCTTGGAGCCTTAAAAAGTTGGAAGGTGGGGTTTTGTCTAAAATCTTATGCTATGTTCTACTCCTGTTAAAAAAAATAATAAGGAAATTTTGACAATTACCATCTTCTGTTATGTCCATTTTAGCAATTACCACCTTCTATTTTTTTTATTTTTATTTTTTAAAATTACCACATTCTATTTTCAAAAACATCAAAAGTTACCACCTTCTTGCCTCTCAACTACCACATGACGTCATTTTGGGCTCATTCTTTCCCTTTCCTCCCTATTTCCCTCACATTTCTCATTCTTAACTCGATTCTCATCCCCCCTTTCACTTTTTTTCCCCAAACAATCAAAAACACTTCAGTTCACTCCTCCAAATCAAAATTGATGAACAATTATTGGTGGTTTGGGGGAAAAAAAGTGAAAGGGGAGATGAGAATCCACATAGGAATGAGAAATGTGAGGGAAATAGGGAGGGAATGGAAAGAATATATGGACCCAAAATGACGTTACGTAGTAGTTGAGGGGCAAGAAGGTGGTAACTTTTGATGTTTTTGAAAATAGAAGGTGGTAATTTTCAAAAAAAAAAAAATAGAAGGTGGTAATTGCTAAAATGGACATAACAGAAGGTGGTAATTGTCAAAATTCCCAAAAAAAAAAAAAAAAAAAACTCTACTTACCCAACACCTTATACGAAGTATAAAATTACAAATCCCAAATTAAAAAAATAGTTAGATGCAAAACATGCAAGCATAGCTTAACACTTGCGTCCCTACTTTGATCGTGCATATTCTGGTTGGTCTGCACAAACACAGTTAATAACTTAATAATAATATCAAGCAAAAGCTCAACAAATTTGGAATCTGTGATGAATTATGTCGTTTATGTGGAGACTGTTCAATGTCTATTCTTCACCTTTTCTTTCAATTCAATGCGAAAACAAAGCAAAAATCACATCTCATGCAACATTTCTGAAGTAAATAGTATATATATATATAGTATATATTAGACATTATAATACATGTTAGGATGATCCAAACTCCAAAGAGATGAGTTGAGACCACGTCTCAATCGATATGAGGAGAATTCTTGATCACCCTACAATTTCCCTTTCTCCCATACATACAGCTAGCCATATTTCAGGCAAGTACAGTTTTAGAATACAAATGTATAATCTCCTAAAGAAGAATTCAAAGCCTTTATAATGCACATACATGTAACTAGATAATTTATGATCAAGTCTAAATTATGATCATACTTTAGCAAAAGACCAGATCGCGTGCTCATCAATTGCCATGGATTACAATTGCATAATTATAACTAGAGCTTACCGCGACATAGTAACAACCCACTGCTATGTAGTAGAATCTGAACAAGATAGGAACTAAAGTTGATAGATAGTACACACTAAACATATTCTGTCTTAGATTATGAACAAATAATCAAAGGATAGAAAAGAACAGATAGAAGGGGATATTTATGTACCTGATATAACAAAATGATTTAGAAGTTGGGATACATTTCAGGCATTTGGCAATAAATTCTGCAGGGTAAATGACATCCCCTGATATTGTATTAGCCTAAATTATGTTTATATAGATAAAACAAATTATTATAATATCATTAAATTCTTAATGTGTATAATAATTGGGGATGATTATCTCATTAATTATTGTGCAAAGTGTGGAAAACTAAGTGGTAAAGTTGGTTGAATGTGCAAAATCTAAGCAAAATTTAAGGAATATGCTTTGCTTGCTTAATTAAGTGATTGAGCCGTGAGGATAAGGTCAATCTTAATTATTAGGGTACAATTATTTTTATTATGTTTTATTCGGAATCCTACAAAAGATGCTGCTGCAAAATCTGGAGTTACACACTAATGTGTATTAATAATACCAATTGGTCTTGTATGGACCCGGTCTACAATAAATTATTGTAGACCCAAAATTTGACACTTTCAAATAATATAATCACATTCTGGATAATATAATCACTTTTGCAGACGATATAATTATCCTTTTGTGATTCATATTTTGAATTATATAATCTCATATTAAATCATTTAATGAGATTATATAATTATCTTTAGGATGATAAAATTTAAAAATCATCTTTTGAATGATGTAATTAACTATTTGATACTTTTTATAATGATAAATTTACTATACATTTACGTATCAGTTTCAGGATTATATAATCACTTTTGTAGTAATATAATCACATTTTGTATGATATAATCACATTCGTATGGTATACTAGAAGGTTGGGTCTACAATAAGTTATTGTAGACCGGGTCTATTCTAGTCTTTATATAATACTAATTATACAAGTATAGAAAACTTGATCGAATTTGCTTGAATTTAAATTTTGTGTACCTAATCTTTGACTAATAGAAATTTTGTCTCTTTCATACTTACGATTTATAATTTAAACTAGACTCGGACCAAACCAGGTCGGGCTAATATTGATTGATTTTTTTAAAGTACTAGATCCTTTTATAGGTCTAAACATGACTCTAACTAAACTAGGTGATTCATTACCCAAATATGATCATAAGAATCATAATTTAACTCAATTAATTATAGATCCTTATCGAATTTACAGTAATCAAATTATTTTCAATCCAAATTATGAGGTTGCCTCTTTGATTTACTATTAGTGCATTGTGAAGTCATTGCACCCCTTAAAGGGTGAGGTTGACATATTAATAATTGTAAATTTGTATGTAATATGTACCCCAACTTTTAAAAAATGTTTAAATGTGCAAGCAAATCTTCACAGTTGCGTCATGGTGGATACATCCAAAAAGGATAAACTATAATTAGTAGGCCAATCTCATTAACTAATTAATTGTCCTTATTTCATGACATTTTTTAAAGGGTTAGACCAATTAATTAATGAGATTAAACTATTTAGATGGAAAAATCAGCTCAAAGAGCAATTTTGTTTATTGCAGTAATGATATCGAAGTAGTTTAGTGGTGCTAATGACAAAAAACACGATTTTGTAAGAGGAAGTCTAAAGTCTGAACGTGCATACATACCATGGTACAAGTTTTCCTTAAAATATTACTTCATATCATTTTTGGAGCTAGCCAAATGAGGTCCTTTTGTCCCTTTCGAAATTTTGCATTTGAAAAGAAAGAAACTTTGATCATGATGATTCGTCACGATGACGTGTAGTCTCATACTCTCATTATACTCGTATATCTCATTTCATCAAATATAATTAGGGAATACTAAAATACTAGCGCTTAAAGATATACAAGTATAAAATAAAACTTGAAAAAAAATTGAATGAAAGTTCGAAATTAAGATCAAATTATACTTCTTCCGTCTCATTGTGCAACTAAAAAAAAAAATTAAATGTCTTATTGAGTTATAAAGACGACGTATTAAAATTCATTTTTATATTTGAGCCTGCTCACGAGCTTCTAAAGCCTACCTTACTCGTTCAAGTCTTTATTCTAGCTCACACTCGGACCAAGCTTTATTGCTCTAACCAAGCTGAGATTAATGTGGCTCAAGAATACACTAGACAAGTATACTCCTCATTCCTCAACTTTTCTTGGATATCCATAAACTCTAAAACAACAATACCAACTAAGCAGTAGTTTATCAGGTACTGTAAAAGCGCAACGATTGCTGGTATTCACCAAAGAACGAAATCTAACCATCAATTCGCTCCTGTATCAATTATCCATAGAGTTATAAACTTATAACATAGTTCACTCCTAATGTTGACCGAGATAAGTGTACTGAACTTTTTCTATGCCTAGTTGAGTATACAGGGGATATTTTCTGAAGACAACCAATAAAATTACATAAAACAAAAGTAAAACTTCATTGTATACATGAAAATTATTCAAGATGAACATAAACAAGGCAAAACTAATGGGACAATCGCACCAACGTAAATCAAGACATATCAATGAAATATGTGTAATAAAAACAAACATATTTTTCTTGATTCTGTCTGTGCTTCATTCACCCTTCTTTTCTACACTGCAGATTCACGTCTGAGCATGTCAGACGCGCTAGAAACCAACATCTGTGACTGAAATGTGTGCTCGGTATGATATGACTATGAAGCATAGGTTAAGGGACAAAGAGAAGTTCGACTGCAATTCTTCACAGTACTTGATAGGAAGTATAAACTCTATACCACACTGCTCGTTCATATGGCCTTACCTTTAAGTCACACAGCTTTTTTGCAGATCTCTTCTCGTGATTGTAAGTAATGACTTCACCTGGAATTGAGAGCGCAACTTCTAAATCTTCATCATCATGGCCCTGTACAACAGACAACACATCACACTCATAGCGCGGTAAGAAAGGATGAGGGTTGCTAGACCTACGAGCCATAATTGGAAAATCCTTCGCTAAAGACTTTAAATCAATTAAACTCCTCAGAAACCACCCACTGTAATCTTCCTTCATCTCAAAGAGCTCCAGAAAAGACAACTCTGGTGATGCAACTACATAGTGAAGATGACCTCGAGACTCCCCAAAGTACTCACAGCTAGCCAAAGGATACCCTTCCTTCAGTGGAGGCTTAGGCATTTTTGTCAGAATCTCTTCCTCTACATTGAAGTACAGACCTATTGTTGTACGTCTCATCCAATGAATTGCACCATTGCAAAACACCCCGTCACTGAAATCTATGTCACCGGGTGCAACAAAAGGCTTACCTGAGACGGCCCAAGTTTGAGTTTCACGGGAATAAATAGATATCTGATGAAGTGGCTTTTGCAGTTCTAGCTTTTGCACACAAATGATCTTATAATAAGGTGAAGTATAAGGGTCAAAAGCTAGATTAAGAGCAAAATGGTTGGTCGCAGAAACAAAATTAGGAAGTACCTCTGGGTGTTGAGTTGCTAGATTGCAGATATAATATTTTTGGGATGATTGAGAAAAACAAAGGAGCAAACCAATGCAAGATTGTAATATCTGAAGATTTAGGCTGTTGAGAAATGAAATATCTGGAACCTTGGTCTGGCTTTGTGTGAGGGAGACATACTCAAACTGAGATCTTTGTGGTGAATGTTTTGGAATCAACACAAGGCCTGATACAGAAAGAGGGAAAATAGAGTAGTACTGAAGAAAATCATGGTCAGACATGGGAGGACACAAGGGCTCAGTTAGCTCATAATCGAATTCTGGAAGCCATAGATCAGGCAAAGAGAAGTAGAACCCGGCAGCTAACTCATCATCCCCATCAAAAAACTCAGCTGGTAAGTCGATATCAAGGCTGCTCTCAGCAGAAAAGTACTCATCATCACCACTCAAGGTCAATGGATCAAAATTGGGGTTGCTACACATCCCTATTTCCATTGCCCCTATAAATTCAGTTGATATATTATCACAAAAAGAGTCCCAACTCTATACACTATCATATCCTAGTAAGAAATTCGATTTTGTCGAAGATATACTACGTGGAGTCCTCTATTCTCTTAGCATGTCTGTTTCATATCTGCTTCCAATTTTTATAAAAGAATAAACTAACATCAAAAGTACATCAGCAGGAAGACCAGGCAACCAAAGAGCATACAATTAGGCAACAAACATATCATCAAGGAAAGAGCAACTCTTCCAAACATACCAGGTCAACTGTTTATAAAGAAAAAAAAATACTGAAAGAGATTTAAACGGTCCATCTGCCAAGATAAAACAACAAAAAAAGATGAAATCCAAAAAACAAAAAATGTACTGCAATAACATGTAAGAGTTTCGACGAGTGATTGCTGCAATAAGCAGCTGTCCTGCTTGGAAGGTCAAGCTTAAGTTTGTTCATTTGTTTTAGAAAACAGCAAATAATATCCAGATCAGAAACATAATCAAGATATTAAATAAGGGTGCATACCTCTCTTTATATCGTCTCTTGTCGATCAGCTAGATCCAGTAGTGAAATGTGTAACAAATGATGAATCACTTCACAGCTTAATATATACAGTAAAATTCAGAATTAAAGTTTCAGACATTATACAACAGCATGATTTTACCAATTTTTACCTTTCCAATATTCCACAGGAGAGAGCACACGCATCAGCAGAAAGGATTCTTAATACTTCAGCTTGTGACTCAAGCAGCAAGATTGTCATGGGACATGGAGGAATCAGTAGATGCTCAGCACCTTCACAATTGCTCACATACCTGAACTGCAAGTTGTAGACAGATTTAGGCATGCCATTTACACAATCTTACAATATTTTTCTCTCCATTTATCCAACCTTGACAGTATTTTTCTCTCCATTTATCCAAACTTAACAGTATTTTTCTGTTCATATAATTTCTGTTCTTCATTCTCTACTGTCGTAACAAAAAAGAATCTAATGATCCATTAATCTAGTTGGGTAGTGAAGAGCATCAATTGATAATCAAAATTACAATAGAAGAATTGGTATGATAGCCAAATGCAGGGTATATAGTTATGCGAAATCAGGGAAGAAAAATGGATGATATATATGAGGAAAAGGGAGATGTTTTATAACAAATGAAGTATATACAACAAAAATTCTTTGATAGCAAAGAATGGGAAGAAACGGTGCACAGAAAAACGAATGGGGAAAGGAGGCACCAAAGATCGGAATGCTCGTACATGTTCTTTGGTGTTAGAGAAGTCAGCTGTCTGGAATCGGATTGGTAGCAACTGTTGGTTCATACATGTTCTTTGATAATGTTGAACACTGCATCAAGATTCAACTACCAGCATATAGAGATATATCCAGAGAAGACCAACAATGACTATAAATTACTTCATCAACACCGATAAAAGAAGCCAAATATTTACAAGAAACAGTATCATGAATATAAATTCAGCTTAAGATTGGTCTATTCCAGAAACAAATTATACAAAAAAATACATATATAAACAAAATAAGTAAATAGCAAATAAAATCATATAGAGATATCTGGAAAATTGACTTCACAAAGGAGAAACACAGATTTACTGACATACTCTGCATCAAATAACAGATAAAGTCTCAAAATGTTCGTAGACTGAATACATTTTGTACCATATGGTTACATCACTGGCCCCAAAAAATTCATCTGGAATGAATTGGTAAATTTTAATCTTAAGATTCCTAATTACGACATCACCGGGAACTGAAAACACTATTTCCGCACCTTCATCCCTTCCTGCAAGATTAACGTACAGAACGTCACATTGAAGCTGTGAGAACATAGGATGCTGCAAAAAGTTCCTAAGCATAGCTGGAATTTTAGCAATCATCACAGTGGGGTTAACCTGAATCTTCAAGTCCCATCCAGAATAGTCCTCCTTCATCTGGTAGAACTCATATTCATTTAGTATAGCACGCGAAACAGCATAAATTAGGCACCCTTGGGATTTCCCAAAGTATTTAAATTTGTATTCTGAATCCTCATGCCTTGGAGTCTGTGGCATTTCTTTTAGTATACCTGTCTTCAAGTCAAGATATGCTCCACTAGATTTGCTCTTCAGCCAATGAATTGCACCATTGCAAAAGACACCTTCATTAAAGTCTAACTTGTTAGGTGCAACAACAGGCTCTTGAAAGAGACTCCATAGGCGAGTTTCAGATGAATAGATTGCAATTTGGTGAAATAACTGCCGATTATTTAGCTTTTGCACACAAACCACCTTGTAATCAGGTGAAGTGAAGGGATCAAAAGCCAAGTTAAGTGTGTATTCTTTTTCCATGTATGGACAGTGAGGAAGGACTCTTAATCTAAATAATGAGGGATTGCACACATAATGTGACAGCCCAAATCGACAAAGCAATAGTCCATTGCAAGACTGTAGGATTTGGAAACCTTTGGAATTAAGAAAGGCAACAAATGGCGTTACCTCAAATGTATTCTTCTTGAATGAAAGAAAATGAATTTTAGGATGTTGAGCAGTTTGTCTAGGGACCAAATACAGCCCAGACAAAGAGGGAGGATAAAGTAGGTTGTGCCTCGAGATAAATTTTCGATTTGAGATGATTGAGAGCCACAACTTTGATACCCGTAGACATTTAGCAAGAGAAGTTGCAGACAGATGACTAAAAATCTCAGTCGCTAAGTCCTCATTTTCTGCAACCTCTTCAGCTGATGTTGGTTCAGACTGAGGGTCAGAAATTGGCTCCTCCATCATTCAAAATATTTGGAACCTGTGAATTTTATCAACTTTCATACAGACAAATCCCAAAGCACCTCCATCAGATTCAATAAACTATTGTTTTTCTACTTAAGATGAGGACACTTTGGAACAATAAGATGAAGAAGCCAAATTCTACAAGCCAAAATCATTTTCATATGTCAAGGATAGTAGTAAGCTTTTTTTTAAAAAATAAATATAAAATAAATAAAAAATTACTTAGTCAATCTATCAGCCAATGTCAATTTCTTTATCTTTATTCTACTGAGGAGGTGTGGAGAGGACCAATGAAATTATAAAAAGTTTAGAAAAACCGAAGGAGCTTGAAAATTAGGTTGCTTTGCTATCTTTATTAAAACCTTTAAACCTTCCACTTGTTCATGAAATGTCAAAAGATCTTTCTTTTTTCATAAATCTGTCAAGAAATTCAAAATTAGCAAAGATAATGGCCAACAATGATCATGTCAAACGAAAGAGAAAGTCTTAAAATTGAAAATTCTACAGGCTGAACAGATTTTATCATATGGAAGTTTGCTCCCAAAATAGAATATCAACATTAAATCAATCATAGTTTTCCTTTCAAAAACTCAATTAGTATATCTGATCTTTGTAACAGAAATTTATAGCCAACAGTATAAGATTAACTCTACTTACCACTAAAAGTGTGAGCGCCATACAATACCAAACCCTAACTTGATGCAGGGAAGAGTCAAGACTAAGAAAAAAGCAATAAGCTAGAGGTTTGTTTCCGCTTTTGGGGGTTTGACAACATCAATAAGGATCAAGACTAACAAAATAGCAATAGTACACTGTCTTACCTTTTCCAGGTGCAACACTATGGTTTGTAACAAGGATCCTACACAAACCTCCAACTCGGAAGTACTTAATGGGCGTCCCATCAAGGAATATTTCATATTACACCTTATTTGCCACACCATGTGTAGTTTTTAGGTTACAAGGCAACAGTAAGGCCAAGGCAAGGTAATAGCATTTTCAAAAAGAATTTTTTACGAAATATAACTGGATGATATGTACAAGAATATATATATGCAGCGACAGGGTCTGTGAAGGAAGGACCCACAATGAACCTAGAGATTGTGTAACAGAAAAGAAAATACTCCTGCAAAGGCTGCAATAGTATAATCTTACAGGTACACTTCCTACTTAAGAATAATGATGCAAAGCTGCATATCTATGAAATATTAAACAAGCAGAAAACCATAAGACAACTGTTATTCCTACAAAAAAGATATATACGAAATATGACTTTATTATCAATGAAGATAGCAACTGTAATCGCAGAAATTCAAACAGGATACAGCACAAATTTTCAGAGCTTCCCAAGGACACCAAGGAAGCATCTATCTAGACCCTCATGAGGTTTTTCCACAGACTAAGCTAGCTAATGGCATCCTCTACTTAAAATATTTTTGCATGATAGAAGTCTTAAAACCTGATTTCACAAAAGAGGCATGCAGAAGTTTATCGACATAGTCTGCATCAAACAACTGATAATGTCTCAAAATATTCATAGACTAAATAGGTTTTGTACCATATGGTTACATCAGAGGGACGGAATACTTTATCTTGGACTACTGAAACATTTTTCTTCTCAAGATTGAAAAATATGACTTCACCTGGCACTGACAAAACAATTTCCATGCCTTCATTGGCCCTAGCGTGATAAATGCACAACACGTCACATTCCAACTCAGAGAACAAAGAAGGATGACGCCCAAAGTTCCTAGCCATAACTGGAAATTTAGCAATTAACACATTGAGATTAACCCGAAACTTCAATTCCCATCCAGAATAATCTTCCTTCGTCTGATACAACTCATAGTGGTTAAAAAGAGGGCGTGAGATAACATAAAACAAGTATCCTTGGGACTTTCCAAAGTACTTGAATTTATATTCTGACTCCTCTTCTCGCCTGGGAGGCAATGGCATTTCTCTTAGTATCTCTGTCTTCAAGTCAATATATGCTCCACTACATTTGCTTGTTAGCCAATGAATTGCGCCATTGCAAAAGACACCGTCCTTAAAGTCTAACTCATTAGGTGCACAAACAGGCTCTTGAGAGAGACTCCATAGACGAGTTTTGGAGGAATAGATTGCAATACGGTAATGTGACGGCTGACTACCTACCTTTTTCAAGCAAACAACCTTGTAATTTGGCGAAATGAGAGGATCAAAAGCCAAGTGAAGAGTGTAATCTTTTTCTGCATATGAACAGCTGGGAAGGACTCTTAATTGACATGTTGAGGGATTGCACACATAATGTGACAGCCCCAGCTGACAGAGCTATAGTCCATTGCAAGAATGTAGGATTTGAAAACCTTTGGCATTAAGAAAAGCAGCAAATGGAAGAGTAAAAAATTTACTCTTATTGAGAGAGAGAAAACGAACTTCAGGATGTTGAGCAGTTTGTCTAGGAATCAAGAACAGGCCAGACAAGGAGGGGGGATAGAGAAGGTTGTGCCTTGAAACAAATGATTGATTTGATATGAATGAGAGCCACCACTTTGATACCCGTAGACATGGAGCAAGAGAAGTTGCAGGTAAATGAATGAAAATCTCTGTTGCTAGATCCTCATTTCCTGCAACTTTTTCAGCTGATGTTGGTCCAAACTCAGGATCAGCGATTGGCTCCTCCATCTTGCAGGGAATTTGTAATGTGTGGAATTTATTTACATTTATACAAAGAATTCCCAGACCACCTTTAATATTAAACCACGTAAGTCTAGGCCCTTCTACTTAAGATGAGGACAATTTGGAACAGGAAGAAGTCAAATTCTACTAATAAATTTTATATCTCAAGGAGAGTACTATGCTTTCTGTTTATTCTAAAATGTGGTCAATACATCAGCCAAGACCAATTCTTTATTTCTTAACTTGGGTAGTTGGGTTGCTTTGATAAACGCTTGAAGTCACTGCTAAATAACATTCTATGACAATGTCCTCTGTCTAATTACTAAAAAAAATGTCCAAACCTACCATTTCTTCATGAAATAGTCAATCATCTTCCTTTTTATAAACTAAAATTTAGTAAATCTCACCTTGCCACTAAAATTTGAGCCAACGGCAGTCCCAACTCCCAAGCCCAAGCCCGAGCTGAAGAGTATAATATTGCCTGACCTATTCAAGGACAATGCTGCAGTTTTGAAGAAGGGGTCCCACACCAAAATCCAACTGAGAGAGATATAGTTAGTTGGCTGCCTACTTAGTAGGTACTAGATAAATCAGAAAAAGAAGCAGATAGCAACTAGCTGATGCAAAATGAAATTCCTTCTCACCAATATATTATGTGGAGTGATCAGCTGATGAGACAACACTAATGACAAGGGAAGGCAAAAGCATTTTCCAAAAAGCTCAATGAAAAAAAATGGTAGTTTAACTATCTATACTAGAAGAATGCTCAATAGGAAAGAAAATTAAACTTAAAAGAGCTTGTTTCTAAATTTTCAAGAAGATAGCTACGTAGCTATGTGTATACTAGGAATACTCGACAGATAGGAAAACAAAGGACAGTAGGCAAATACAAAATCAATACGCCCAAGCAAAAATAGATGAGTTTATCTCCTTGTGCCCGAAGATGGAAACTGTGGTTGTTTGTAGAAACTGGAAAGAGAAATAAGCAAACTGCATTTCTCGGAGCATCCCAAGAACAACGAGGAAGCAATTAGTTATAGACTTACAAGTGTATCATGCATGCTTATAGATCCTAAAATAAAGTTGGCATTCAATCACTTGCAAACCACCTTCTGGATAGCACTTCACAAAAAGCTCTAGGGCCAATCGGACTGTGGAAATCAGAAAACCCAGCCAAAAAATTTGGTAAGATAATTAAGAGTAGCTACTCTCTTCTAGGAAGCTACATTTTAATCTGTAGGCAAGGGAATCTCACATGATTGACATGATAAGTGTCAATCATTCAATCATGATTGACATGATAAGTGCCAATCATTCAATTATATTTTGGGTAGAGAGACTAAATGCCATTGGCATAGCTAGCTAACTTAGTTAGTAAAGTCTCGCGTATGGTACCAACTACCAAGGATATACATGTACATCAATGCCCTTTGCGGTTCTATATACACCAAAAACTATTTTAACTAGTAAGTTCAACTTCAGTCCCTTGAAACAAGTCTATGGCTCTATGCAATTCTCTTAAAATAGCATTAGACCCAAGAAAATCATTAAGAGGGGAAAAACTCTCCATTCCTATTCAAATTACAAATAACACCAAAAATGCTACAATACTAAAACTAAAGGTGATTTAGTTACGCTTCGTATTGACTATTGCAGTATTGCTACTCAGTTATAGCAGCATTGCTACTCGGTTATACGATGGAACCTCACTCGACTTGTGTTTGGCTAATCAGTTGCTCACTTGACATCCAACAAATGCACATATATCCACTTATATGTAGGCAATCTTACTCCTGGCCAACCCAACTAACACCAAATGTGAATTTGGATCAGCCAAGCAATAAATTAAATTGTATCATCCAACTCTTTTATGTACCCAATTTTCCAATCACCCGAATTTGCAATTGTGAAATAGAGGTCATGGAAGATAAAAATCAAAACTTCCCTCTTTTTTTCTTTCTTTTTTTTTTTCCTGAATATTGATGGAAACATAACCCATTACATCAAATTTAAAATTCTCCCCCTTCTCCAATAATCTTTTCTAATTTTCATACCCTTCCTAAATTTCGAAAGAACAATTTAGGTTTAGAAATTACTGGGGTTAATCACTAATTAGAATTCAAAATCAACTTATAATGCACTATACTAGAAATAATTCTTGATCAATAAATGACAATAATAGTACGAAGTATAATTTAAGCATCTAGTATAAGAAAATTGCAACCAAAAAAAAAAAAAAAAAAATGATATTAAGTAAGCAAGTACATACAAAGGAAGAAAGGTAGCAAAAGGAGTGCCATTTCCACTCTTCCGGATAGCTCTCTGTTGTCGGCATTAATCCATCGTCTGCAACACTACGATTTTAGAGGTATTATTTTGGCTTTGATTGTTTGATTTTGTATGAACTAGGAACTTAGGAAGTGAAAACCATCACAATATGGTTTTTTTTTTAAAAAAAAGAAAAAAAAAAACATTACCCCCGAGTTGACTTGACAGTTGACTCAAGTCGAGTTAGACATTATATCGAGTTTAGCCCACCAGCCATGTGTTGTGTCACATTGAAATTATGTACTACCTCCATTACATATTATTTGCAACGATTAGACATTTTTCTTCTCTACTTTATGTCAAATCGTTACAAATAATATGTAACGGAGGTAGTATGTAAGTATGTTATACTTAAGTCAAGTTCAAGTTTAGCCTACTAGCTAGTGTTGTGTCATATCAGAATTTTTAAAATGATGGTTCACCAAAGCTGATATGCTAACAACAACTAACGTAATCTAACGCGTAATAGATATAAATAACCATTAATAAATGCGAGTACCATCGAGAAATATGAGAGAAGTAGATACACATCACAAAGACCAAAATGGTCTACATGGCTAATACGTCTATCAACACTATAAAATGTTAACACATTGTGATTAACATGTGCTTTTCAAGGAAAAAAAACACCTACTCCGTATAACGTATTTTAGAGTTTGTTAGTCAAAACCATAATGTGTCACCAAAGAGGATTCTAGTGAAGTATCTAGCATAAGCCTAGCCTATATGTGAGTATGTGACTCACTGACTCGAACATAATGATAGCTTTGCCTATCAAAGATGCTAACTTCATAACACGAAAAAGATTGAGATGAAACAGTGGATCCATGGAAGACCTTGAGGCGGCGTAATACTAATAGTTTTTCAATATAGCAATGTATATCAAAACATTCAGAATTATTAAAAACAAAATGATTGATCTAATTGTTCCAGCTTAAAATAGAGGAGAATGTTCAATAATTTCACAAAAGAAGGAAACAAGAGCGGATAAAACAACCGATTTAACAAGAAACTTTTATCATATACATTGCTTTTACTAGCAAATTTCACACAATAAAAGACAAGTGCATTACAATAAAGGCCAGATTTTGCACCAAATATTTAGGCATTTTCCTCTAAAAAGAGAAAACAAAAGAAAAGGATAATAACAACTTAAGCATAACTGTCAGAGGCTGGAACAGGGGTATATGACTCAATAAAGATGTCACCATATACAAGCCCAGCAAGCCCACCTCCAATAAGTGGGCCGACCCAATAGATCCAGCTTTGAGAAAGGTCACCACTAACAATAGCTGGGCCGAATGATCGGGCTGGGTTCATTGATCCACCACTGAATGGGCCTGCAGCAAGGATGTTGGCCCCAACAATGAATCCAATTGCAATTGGGGCAATGATTCCGATTTGGCCCTTCTTTGGGTCAGCAGCTGTGGCGTAGACGGTGTAAACAAGTGCAAAGGTGATCACAATTTCCATCACAATGCCTTCAATTGCGTTCATTCCTGAGGCTACTCCGTGGGCTGGAATGCTCTGTTTTCAAAATTAAGACAACCACAATATCGAAGTTTGTTAGTCTTTCTATTCCAGAAAATATTTGTAATAATTTGACTTTTGTACTATTGAATTTACGACATTTGACAATAACTTTTACTATTTATACAAGCTTACTATTGAATATTGATTACAGCTATTCTAAAATAAATAGAATATCTCATCTCTAATTGCCAAAAAATAATATAGTAGGGTTTAAGAATTTAAATTTGTAGGGTTTAAGCCTATAGAATTGAATTTGTATATATATCAACAATCAATGTAATAAATCGACTATTGAAAAAGTTAAGTTTTCTAACAACATACGCATGGTTGTTGGTTTATTTATTTATGGCTTTGTTCTCTTCTTATTCATATTATTTATTCTTGTTTAAGTCAAACCAGACTAGACCATACCAAAAAAGTATAAAGTAATAAGTTTAACTAGACATTAAATTTATATTAGACCAAAATTTCAAAAATTCAAATCAAAACACTTGAATAAGATGAAGAGAACAAAGTGATATAGCTCCCTGGCTAGCTAGTAAGAGGATCGAGAGAGAAAAGAAGCTGACCATGCCATTGGTGGTGAATTGGAGGAGAAGGCAAGCAACAACAGAGCCAAGGACTTGGGCAATCCAGTAGAAGAAGCCAGTAAGAATGGTGATGTGTCCACCAATAGCCAATCCAAAGGTGACAGCTGGATTCAAATGTCCACCTGAAACATTGGCTGCCATGGCAACACCAACAAATAGGGCAAATGCATGAGCCACTGCCACTGCTACTAACCCTGCTGGGTCTAATGCTCCTCCTTCTGTCACCTTGCCTGCACATTATTCATAAACATATATAAGATTCAGTCTCGTATTATTATGACTCTGAAGAATTATGTCTACGTTATGAATTTTTACAATCTAACTATTTGTATGGAATACCATTTCGAAAAACAAAGGATTATTAGGATGCACGGTTAGCAAAACCCTTGTTTTTATTTATACCTCCAATATATTTCTGTTAAGAGTATTACTCGTAGACCTTAGCTTGTTTTCTTCTTTAATTTGAAAAACATTAGTTTTAAAATTTTAACCTATAAAAATAAGTTAAATATAAAAATAGCTTGTTTTAATCGGTAAGAATAAGGTGAAGCGAACTTAAAATGCTTTGTACGTAGTAGAAAACTTTTAAATTTGAACATAGTAAAAACTAATTAATGAAAGAAATAGCCTAAGAAAAAAAAGTACAAGTAGTACTAGACTTACTGAATGCGATTGCAGATCCTACTCCAGCAAAAACAAAGAGCAGGGTGGCAATAAATTCAGCTACATAACACCTGATTGAAGCAAGACTAAAAGAGTCACCAAAGCTACCAAATGCCAACTTCACCATTTTTCCACAAAAAATTCAAAAAACTCTCTAATTAAAATTTGAAGGGATTAATTACTTAGTTAATTAGCTCTAAGTTGTATATTGTGATGATGATTAGATGAAATTCTACTGTTTATATATGCCCTTGATCCATGTGGCACCGTCCAACGGCCCCATGTAATGACCTGTCACTCTTTAATTAGTCGCCGGCCTACCGCCCTTAATTTTGATTATAGAGCATTATGAGGCGCATAATCTTGTATTTTCTCCCTTAAACTAGCCTTGCTTACCTAATCTCAATGAACATAAAGAAAACATACAATAGTAGAATATTATGAACTTTAGAACTTTGGTGTATATTTCTAATGTTGGTCCGTTGGAATATCCATGTCACTAACAAAGAATGTTGTTTATTTTAATCTTAAAAAAGCTGTAACACTTATCCATAATCTTAAATTAAGCTCTAAATTTTGTTGTGGACTAGGCAAATGGCAATAAAAGATGATGAAGAATCTAATCATATGATCATATGATGGAGTGGTTTATCTTCAAGTAATTTTTAATGTTGTTATTAGGTGGACTTTGGACATGAAATAACGACTTTCATTATTACTTACTCCTATTATATAGTTAGTGGTAATGAACGTACGTATATCTTGTTAATTTGTTGTCCATAGTATTATGAGATGGTAGCTATTCCCATCTCCAAGGGCTTGTCTCGGGCTCGACCCTCACCAACTACAAGAAAATGACGATATGGCCTTGTACTAGTAAAGAATTTTAGTAAAATGCCGTTGGATGTGGATCTTAATTCTTCATTATGAGAGGCTAGGGTAACCCATGAATATCATATACATCGTAAAAGAATAGTGTCATACATAGTGTCCATATATGAAGCATGACTAGGTGGAGTTGTAAGAATATTGATTGAATTTAAATAAATCATATACTCCGTATATGAATTCAATTCAGACTTTATCAAACTTCGATCAAAATTATATGCTGCAACATGATTAGATCGATCTAACTCAAAAAATTTCACCTATCAATTTTTCTCCCAAAAATTATACTCACTATTTTGGCAATAATAAATTTGAGATCCACCATATGCTACCCCATTAATTTTCTGTTAGGGAATTAAGAAATGTTATGTCCAAATCACTAATTTGAATTAAATAATTTACGTAGTTTAGAATTTTTCAGATGCAATATAATATGATGTGATGGTTAAGTTGCTCATGTAAGCTTTTGCTAATAAGGTTGTGATATTGAATTAAATAATTTAATTAAATGATGATTATCTTCAAAGACTTCATTATATATTTATGCTTTGTTCTTTTCAACTTCAAACTTGTAAATTTTCACCTAAAAAAAACTAATAAAATTACAAAAAATCACTTATAATATAGGTCTCTGATAAACTTAGTTTAGGCTTGATAAGAAAAATGTGGACAAGATTATTCCTACGTCATTTATACATAGTGTTTACAAATTTATTAATTAAAAAAAAAAAAAAAAAAAAAAAAACTGTGAAAATAATATGGTATTTCAAATTACTCTCCATTTATTTACTAAAAAAAAATCATTTTTTCCCTTATATTGTTATGTTGTATCTTTTTAATTGGTCCTACTATTCGCTTACAAACACCTACCAACTACACTTAAGTTCTCCTTTTGTAAGGGTATGTTCTCTTACGTTGAAATTCAGTTCAATTCAGCTCAGTTCAATTCAGTTCAGCTCCTAATTTCCTTCTCTTATAAAATATTCAGTTCAGTTATCAATTCAATTCAATTTCAGTTCAGCTCAGCTTACTTCAGTTCAATTCAGTTCAGCTCAGTTCAGTTCAGTTCAGCTGAGTTCAGTAAATGAGAAAAGGCCCTAAATCCACTATTCTGCTATCCCCTCAGCAAGACATTAGTATCATAACAAATTAGCAACAGCATTTTATGTGAGCATATCTTTAACAGGAACCTTGCTTTGAACCAACACAAAAGGCTTCCAAATTGCTTTGATTTATGTTGACATGTCTTAGATAGGAACCTTTTTTTTTTTTTTTTTTTTTTTTTCGGGAAAGAGTCTTAGATAGGAACTTTGCCCCCAAAATTTTGCATTTGTTGCTCATTTTTTTCATAAGTGTTTCTTAAACGGTACGTGCATGTAATTAGCTTTTTTCTAGTGATGAGAGCCAAAGTAGGCACCTAGGTAGCAACCAAGACTAGGGATGACAATTTAATCCGAGTTCGATTCGAATCCGATCCGATCCGAAGGAAAATATTCGGTTCGAATCCGTTTAAAATTAGTCCGAATCCGATAAAATAGATCCGAATCCGAATAGGAAGTGGATCGAACTTGGACCCTACGCAAAGTCCGATGGAGTCCGATCCGAGTCCGAATCCGAGAGTATAAGAATATGCTCTATAACTTGGGAATATTATTTTCTTGTTTTGTAACAAAATTTTGTTACATAACTAGTTTATAATTTAAATATGTTATGTTTATACTTTAATTGGTATGACAATACAAGCAATTATAGGTATATGACATTACAAAAAATAAAAATAAAAAATATTCGGATTATTTCGGAGGTCCGTATAAACAGACTGGATTCGGATCCGAAAATTATGAGTCGGATCGGATTCGGACTCGGATTTTTCAGATTCGGATCCGAGTCCAGGATCCGTTTACTAAACAGATCAGATTCGGATTTAGCCACGTATTCAAGCTAATTAAGATGTTTGATTTCATCGTTTACATATAAGGGTTAAGGGTTCGATTTTCCCCTCCAAGTGTTTCACAAAGTGTATCAATCTCCCATATACTCCATTTGTTCCTTAATGTTTGTTTCATATCTCAACTTTCGCTTTTTTAGAAGTGTATTAACTTTGTAAAATTGTTGACAGTCTTGACACTCTACTACGCCGTACTCCGAAGCACTTACAGTCTTGACTAAGGGCCTGTTTTCATTCATTTATTTTCAGTTCAGTTCAACTAAGTTTAGCCTATGGGAACCGGCCCTAATACGGACTAACTAAAAATAAGGCAAATTCAAAACCGACTTGAATTTAATGACATTTTCATGCTCAAACCGGCTTTTAAGTTTCACCAGAGTGACTGGTGATTTCTGCGGATTTTGCCCACACTCCAAAAATAAAATAAAATAAAATAAAATATCATCAATCATCATTATCAGCTTGTTCAAATTTCCGTTTTCAAAGAGAAATCCTCAGAAATATTTCACACGCAGTTGCAGGTGAGAAAATTAAATGCTTCTTCAATTTCTCTCGCATTTAATGCTCCCAACTTCACACAACTTACCCCAATTCCTTCAATTTATCTGCTCTTCTGTTTTCTTCAATTTTTGCTCTTTTGTCCCACTTTTTTAAGGTAATTCGTGTTATCTATTTACTGGGTTCTCAACTCTAAATCATCACCAAAAATAAATCAATTTAATCAATTTCAATTTCAATTTCAATTTCAAATTTTTACCTCCAACTTTTTTATATTTAATGTGAAAGTTGATTGAGTAGTCTTTATCAGTTGTCCTTCAACATTTACTACACTAACTCTTCTTTAATTTTGTTAGTTGGAGAACAGTGAATTGGTTTCAATTTATTCACCTATTTTACCACTTTTCAGATGTTGGGAATTGGAAATTAGGGGTTTTTTGGTACAATTTTGACTGTTTAAGAGAAACCCAGGAAAAAAATTCAATCTTTTGAGGTTTTTAATGGAGGGTTTGAGCATAGATAAAGATGAATGTGTTGGTGGGAGGAGAGAGAATGGGGTTTCAATTCATCATAGGCGTTCAAGGAGGTGACAACATTGCTTATTATAAGCCCATTATTATATTCTTAATTTTCTTGGGTTATGTTTTAAATATTTTTAAAAAAATTGTTTTAACTGATAAAATCAAGTTAATTTGGCCTATTTGTTTATGTTGTTCAGTTGGGCTGTTGAATTTCTATATGGTATATTGGTACTTAATTAGTTGTGCACTTATGCATATATTCATGGGCCAGGACTTTAGTCTATATTTTTGTTGGTGTTTTGTAGCTTTGTGCCAGTTTCTACTTACTAGTATATGGTTAATTGGTTTGGCACTTTATAGCTGCTGAGATAATTTTCATGCTTAACGAAATTTTCGGACTTTGTTCCGCTTATCATTGGCTGTGAATTGGTTTTAGATCTTGGTAAAATCAAAGCTTTGAAGTTATTAAAAATGGTAATCCTGCAATGCAGTAACTTGATGGGTGCTTTTATCAATTTAGCATGGAAAAATTTGTGTTACTATGTGATGTATATGGTGCTAGTTTGGATGCTATTTAGTATTAGTACTCCAAATGAGAACAAATTGATGTATGAGTAGAGTAGTATACCATATTGGGGTGTTTATATTGCTGCCTTAATGTCTCCATTTTTCTCACTTCAGTGCTTCAGACAAGAAAGCTGATATATCAAGATTTGGAGTTCCTTATTCTATTGAGTGCAACCATGATTTATCACTTGTAAGACCACATATTCTCCTTATTGGTTTTGAATCCAGCTTCACTGTATGGTGGTTGGACTATAAGATGTTAAAATTGTTACAAAATTATATGTCGAAGTTTTGAATCTTGTTGTCTGCTTATTTATTTTTGGATGATGAGTATGGTTTACTTTGACGAATTACATGTTTTTTTGGGTTCTTGTTGTTCATAGGACTCACCATTTTCAACAAGGACTTTCATAGGGCGATCCATTGATTCGAGTACAAGCTCATCAAATCACCGTGCCTCTTTGGAAAAGGATGTAAGTTAGTTTGGCGAATGAATGAATTTAACTAAGTAATCCTAATTTTGAAAGATTATCTAATCTCACTTTAAGGAGAAAGGGATAGATGTCTTAGCAAGTAGGTATTCTGGTTTCTTGTTATGAAGTAGGAATCTCAACTTGTAATAGGGTTGTTATATAATGTGCTTAACATAATTATGCATGGTGTAATGCTAATTGCAGGTATATTTACTACAATCACGTTTGCAGCAAGAGAAGTCTATGCGCATTATGCTGGAGAAAGCAATTGGTCGGGCCTCTAGTGCTTTGTCGCCAGGTCATAGGCATTTTGCCTCTCAGGTAAAACAAAGACTCTAATATTTTAAACCTACTGATGCTTAATGACTCCCACTTGTGGAAATGTTTGTAATCATATTAGCTTTGATCATTGAGGAAACTTGGAACAAATATCAATACAAATGAACAATAAAGATCTTATAATATAGGAATTTAACTAAATGAATTTGTGAGTAATTAATTGCATTAGGGTCCTCAATAAAACCATGCCTTGATCCACTAGTGGCATAGTTGACTTAGGAGCTTGAATCCTTTTGCTTACTTGCACTTTGTGGAATATTTTTTATTAAGAAAGTAGAAGGTGCAAGTTAATGGTTATTTTGTCTTTTGGGTGTCTTAATTGGAAACTACTGTTGTTAACTTCTCTGATTTTATCAGGCGAAGGAGCTGATTGCCGAGATTGAGTTACTTGAAGAAGAGGTATCCAATAGAGAGCAGCATGTTCTTACTCTTTACAGGAATATCTTTGATCAGTGTGCCAGTCAGCCATCTTCTGTGCAAACATCTAGCTTGAGTTCTCCTGTTCATACTAAAAATAAACCAAGAAAGCATCCTAGCATAATTTCAAGCGCATTTTGTTCCTCGAAGAAATTCCCTTTGCGAGGTCTTTCGTTAAAAAACATTTCTGCAAAGAAAGATGGCAAGATTAAACATGGCTCATTATGCGTAGGAAAAATAGACATCCATAATGAGAAGCCCTGTTCTAACCAGATCAAGGTATTTTCTAGAATCCAGACACTTTTTTTTTTTTTTTGCTTCGCTTGGTCATGAAATCATGAATTAGTACCATTTTTTAATAATAATTTCTATCTAGAGTCCCTATCAAATCTTGTCTTGGTCAACAAAATGAAAAAAGAAATTGCCAAATTATAATTGATTTCCTTCTCTTTGTAGTGATTAGTGAGTGGATGCTAGATGTTTGAAATGATGTGATGACCTATTACTTTCACATAAATAGCTATATATGCATTGTTACAGTCCCCTAATCATGTAGCACAGAGCCACAGATATTAATCATTGTCATAAATTACATTTGATGGTAATTGCCAACTCTTTAATTTATAGTCTTCTCTTTATAGTGAGTAGATATCAGAAGCTTGAAATGATGTAATGAGACTGATGATGTAAAACTCTCACATCAATGTCTACATATGCATTATAATCAAAGAAAATCTCATCATGTAACATGCACTTACATTGGCACTTGATGTTCATATGGTATAATAGCTGCAAATGGATACTTTTATTCATGTAGAAAGGGAGGGGGATATGGCAGGTTTAAATGTTTGATATGAGTTCTATGAATAATACGAAGTAATACATAGTAATTTGGCCTGTTTGTAAAATGGCCCACAATTTCTGTTGATAAAAACGTCGGATTTGTTTATTTTACCCCACCCTACCCTCGCTCCACCCCAGCAAATTGAACTCAAGACTGGAGTCTGTATTCGTACTATTGCTTTGATATCAATGCCAGGGAAACAAGTGTTTAACTTCTTGGGCTGGGATAGGCTTATTAGAGCTGAGGCATTCAAATATAGTTATATAGATTAGGTATACTCAAACTTGGCCACCACACCATTTTAAGAAGTGAAAACTACAAAGATGAATTCAGGTGATGAAATAGGTGCTTTGGGTTCATATAGGTCGGATGCAGGGCATTTAGGAAGGTCGGTTAGGAATTTGAGAGTAGCAAAGATGTGTATGTTGAGATAAATGTGCAGGAGAAAATGTGGGAGGTGACATGAGGTTCTAGCAGTGTGTTGATGAAGAAAATAAGAAACGGATCATAGGGGTGGGGAAAATGAGTAACTTTAGGTAACCTTGTATGTACTTGTCTCTTTTTTTGTTGAGCAGCAACTCTTATTAGTACACAATTGGTAAAACAATGTAAAACTGTTTCTGTTTCTGTTTCTCACAACTGTTTGTTAGATTTGGTGGCAAGAAATTCTATTCCTAATAAATGTTTCTCTAGATTTCTAGAATCACTTTCTAGGAAATGTACTTTTCAGAAACAAAAGTTTATTTTCAGATGGCTTAACAGACCCTAACCTTAAAGAAAGTTAGGCCTTAGACCAGCATCACCAGCACTTGGGTTGTTTTTGTTGTTATTTAAATCATGTTGCATTGATTTTCCTGCCTTCGTGTATGGAGATGAGGAGTTCCTTATAGTTAATTTTATCTGTCCTGTTGTAATGATGGCATCTGCCAAAAGGTTGATTTAAATGTCTGAATTAGTCAGAGGCTCTTTCATCTGCCACTGACCTGGCTGTCTTCAACTAGTTCAACATGCTGTAATTTATTCTTATTAGGCTGTGCCTGAACCTCTCTCTCTCTCTCTCTCTCTCTCTCTCCCCCCCCCCCTCCCATTCTGCCCCCTCTAAGTGTGACTTTGATATTTGTTCTACACTTCTACTTAGATTTCTTTTTTGTGCTTTTCAGGTTCATGGAAAGTCATCAGACATGGTGAAGAATTCTGGTGTGCGAACATTGAAGGATTACCTTCATCAGTGCCCTAGCAAATTGTCTGAGGAAATGGTTAAGTGTATGGCAGCAGTTTACTGCTGGTTTTGCAGTGCTGCATCAACAAGCTCGGAAAATTTAAAGAATCATCAATCATCTGGTGTTGCAAAGTCTTGTGGTGATTTTAATCCCCAGCTTGGCAGCCAGAAAAAACATACTTCGAAATCCATGCTAGAGATATCCTCAATGCCAACTGAAAAAAAACAAGTTTCTCGTGCATCTTATGCAATCACCAGCTATAGGTGGGTTTCATTATTAAACATTACCCTTATGCCTGGAAGAGAATATTTCCCTCATTAGTGGCAAAGTGGCAAGGCTCCTTATATGTGGTCAAACCCAAAACTGTAATGTGCTGTTTACAAGTTTGTGTTATACAATCCAATTGTTTTGCAAAAGGGTAATTGGAACTTAGGATAGGTATGCTGTCATTGCGCTGGTTTTTTTTTTTTAAAGTAAAGTTTTGGATCTTAGATCCATGAATACTTGTAAATTTCAGGTTTACTAAGTCACCATATATTTTCTCTGATCAGTGGCGTAAATGTTTGGTACTTCTATCTTACACACATGAAACTTTTAAAGTATGTGTAAATTTTGAACGCAATCCTTTATTTCCACTTGCAGAGAACTCGTTGAGCAACTGAAAAGGGTTAATGTGAGCCAAATGGAAGTCGAAGCCCAGATTGCATTTTGGATCAACATCTATAATTCACTCATAATGCATGTATGGATTACAATATGAAATTGCTGTTTAATTTTTGCATGTTATATGTCTTCATTTTAACTCTTTGATCCTTGTATTTTGTAGGCATATTTAGCGTACGGAATCCCCCATAGCTCTCTGAGAAGACTAGCTCTGTTTCACAAGGTAGTGCAATTACATGATGTTCTTATTGATGCATCAGGTCATGCTTTATTGACAAGGGATATTATTTGGCATATTAGGCAATGTGTCCCTTACAAATAAAGTCACTTTGATATCAAAGAAACATTTTTTCTTTTCCTGCAATTCTCAATACCATCCTCCTTTCAAGGGTTCTTTTAGATCCTGCTGTTTGAAAGGGATCCAAATAATAAATTGCAACATTTTGATCAACCCAACTAAACAGCTTAAAAGCTGGGTTTGAGATGCATTTTATTCACTTGATTTTCACTTACTATAACTTATTTTACTTATTTTAGTTGTAAATTGAACTATTGGTGACCCTTGATGAAAGTTATTTAGACTTATTGTTCTAGAACATGTACTACTCCCTCTATTCCTAAATGCTTGCAATACATGTGTTTGCGTGTAGTTTAGGAAAGCTTGGGGGGTAGTATATTGAATTGAACAAACTAATCTACAAGTAGAGCTAACGGGGGCTATGGGGTTATTTTTAATTGTTGTGGAAGAGAGAAATAATAAAGAATTAGTGCAAGTAGGGTTAGTGGGAAAAAGAAACAATAAAATAATTGTGGAGACCCATGCCAAAATAAGTATTTAGAAACAGACAAAAGAGGCAAGTGTTGCAAGTATTTAGGAACAGAGGGTATCAAAACCTATTAATCCTTATTTGAATTTGTCTCAACTTATAAACCCTTAAATAAGTGGAAATAAGGTGAACAGTACAAGATCCTTAGTCTTGTAAAGGGGGTCAAGGGTGACCTATTATGTTTGTACCTGGAGTGGATGATACCACAAGCCATTTAAATTTTGAACCTTGTCACGCATGATACATGATTTTGTTATAAGGTTTCGCATAGTGCTTTGTCTAGCTCATGAATAGTGAGGATCAGGATTAAATTGATGATTCAGAAACATATGTGTATTTTTGCTTTACCTTTGACCAAATTTCTTTAATTTTCGAGCTACATGTAGCTACATGTTCTTAGTGATAGCTTTAGTAAGGTTTCGAACAGCATTATTCTTAAGAAATGGCTTTAAATAATTGTGTTTGTGTTTATATCTGAGAGGTTGGCTTCTCATATCTGAGAGGTTGGCTTCTCAAATAAAAGATGTAATTCATAAAAGGGGTTGCTAAAGCTCTTATTTTCAAGGATACTATTAGTCTCTTAGCTTAATGATTCGATAATAATTCTGTATTTTCACAAATTTTTACACCATAAAACCTGATGAATTGACAGGTTTCTCTGTGTAGTGCAGGCGGGCTACAACATTGGTGGCATAGTTGTCACTGCAAATGCCATAGAACACTCAATCTTCTGCTTTCGTACACCTCGAGTTGGTGGGGTAATTGCTTCTGGCTATTCTCTATCATTAATGTAGCTTAAGGAATGTAGTCTCCAGATTGTAACTGGCCATCTGCTTGTGTCCTGATACTTGATTCATATGGATTTGCCTTCAAAATTTTGTTAATACTCAAAATAATGTTAAAGAATCATTATTTGTTGTTGGCTGTCCTTTAATTAAGTGACTTTACTATCCCTAAAAATAATGAAGATGTATGTGTATAGCTTTATGTACTTATTCGAACCTTCCTATTTACACACTTCTCTCTCTTCCCGATATCCATAAGGAAAGTAGGTTTTATTTTTCAAACCTTCCAGTATTTTCTTAAACTGGACCTCTAACATAAAGAGAGCTTCTTTTTGGAATTGAGTAATGTACTGCTATCATCTATTGATTTCACCTCCTCCTCTATCCTGTTAGACTGATATTTACTCGCATCTTTAAAAATAAATATGTGCCTGCCAAATTGCGTTGCAGGGATCTGAATGAGAGAATGGTAGACTGGCATCCTTCCCTTGTAGAAAAGTTTGTACATGAGCATCCTTCATTTCCTTTTCCTTATGAAACTTGGAGAGAGAAAACAGTGGTGTGAAATCAAACTAAAATTTTAACTGGAAAAGATTAGATATAGAGTGATTGCGGAAAGTTTTTTTTTTTTACTGTTGCAGGATAATTTCCTATGTCTGCTTGGATGATATTCTTGCATTTTCACAATTTTAAATTTTTTTTATTGTTTATCAGCATCAGCTATGCAATCTTTTTGATTCAGTTGCATAGGAGTCGAAGAAAAACATGCCTTCACTAAGTAGTATTTGTTTGTGCAGTGGGTTGAAACCTTTCTATCGACTGCCTTCAGAAAGAAATCTGGAGATGAGAAGCAACTCCTTAGCTCAAAACTCAGTCTTCCTTATTCACAATCCCTTGTTTGCTTTGCACTCTGCACTGGAGCCTACTCCGATCCTGTGGTAACTTCCTTGCTCTTGGACTATCTCCATTATCTATTGTTGTGGTATAAAGCTATAAACGGTAAACACAAGTCTCAATCTTTACTGTCGTATAGATGGGACTGACTTGAATGCATTAATCACAGTTGATAAGGTGATTAAGGTCTATCATGCGGCTTAGGACAAAATTAACCTAGACATTTATCTGAAACATTTGGGCTTTGATAAATTTAATTAATGTGTTCCTAAACCATGGAAACTTTTTGCATTTATATTTGCTCTGTCAGTCTGCTTCTGTTATGTATTATTACTCATGATGTATAAAGTTGCGTATCTATGACATCCAGCTGAAGGTCTACACAGCAGCCAATGTCAAAGACGAGTTAGAACAGGCAACTAGGGAGTTTCTTGTATCCAACATAATTATAAAGAAATCAAAGAAGGTATTTCTGCCAAAGATGCTCGAAAGGTATTCAAGAGAAGCTTCCATAGGAACTGACGAACTTCTCAAGTGGGTTTGCAAGAATGTTGATAAGAAGCTCCAAGACTCAATTCAGCGATGCCTTGATTCTAAGAACTGCAAGAAAGCATCTCAGGTAATAGAGTGGTTACCATACAGCTCTAAATTTAGATATGTATTCTCAGAAGGACTTGCTACAAAACCTTGGTGGGTTTGATAGCTTTTGATTTTCTACTGCCTGTATGATGAGAACATATCGAGCGCGTTCCATGATCACATGTTAGAAGATTAATTTTCCCCAAAAATTGTATTAGGTTAATGCATAACCTAGACTTTAACTAATCTTCTCCCTTGTTACTTTGTACAGGAGTTTTCTAGGTCCTTTTTAGTTTATGAATCCACATGCTTTCAGTTACAATCTATCCCTAAAATCCAAACTCTGTCTTACAAAGATGTTTTACTGGCCGTCATAACATGGTGATGGTTTTTAGGCTGTCATTGAATATTATTTGTGCCTGTAACAATAGTTGCTAACATTCCAAAACACCGTGTAAAAGTCAATTTTTTTTATGACCATGCGTACTACAACACTCAAATTACGACCGAAGGCTGTCGTAGGTATTAACGATGTTTTTTAGACCATCGCCCTTAGTTTATTTGCGAATTAATCTATCTATTTTTATTTAATTTATAATCTTAATAATTATTTTATTAACATTGTATATTGTGTGACAAACAGTGATACACATATACAATTAAAGTAAAATTACAAGAATTGTTTCAAAAAAAAAATAATACAAGAATTGAATTCCCTAAATGCTTCATAAGGGGTGTGAAATAAAAATGAGAAATAAAGGAATGATTTGAGAGAAATTGTAGGAAAGAGGATTGGGGATTGGGTAAAAAAAAAAAAAATAGAGAGGGCGTGGATTGGGGAAGAAGACAGAAAATTAAGGAATGATTTGAGAGATTAATATGGAGGAGTTAGTTAAGAAATATTCCCTCTAAACAAAGTTACTAAGATATTTTGCGAGTACTCAGCAAGAAAACTGAGTTTTTTTTTTTTTTTTTTTTTTTTTTGATACATGTATAATTATTTTTCTACTTAAATAAAATTGCAAGTTTTATGCCTGTCAAAAAAAAATGTAAATTTTATGGACTAAAATTGTGTTGATGTTGCTAATGCTAATGCTAATGAAGTTTTAAATCTTGTTAATTACTACGTAAATTAATTAAACAAGTGTGTAGTTTAGGATTAAGGATCAACCCTTATTGTATTATCCATCAAATAGATGTAGCATTATTTGCTTTTTAAACACGTTTTATTTTTTATTTACATTTTTTATTTACATTAACTTTTAGGTTAAAGTAAAATTTTAGTACTCTAAAGAAAGGCTAAATTATAATTGACGGATATAAAAATAAATAGTGAAACTCATACTATAATATTTATGACAAATGCATTTTATTATATTCCTAAAATTAGAATACATTGGTTAGAATGCCATAAAGTTGATAATTTATTGCAAAATTTCACTTCATATAGGAGCATTTTTTATTTTTTTTTTTTGAACGGGAGGAGCATTTTTTATTTGTTGAATGTAAAATCGATCCATCAAGTAGTATTATGTTTACTTTGTTGTATGGGCATAAATCTAAAATGATATTGGACCGACCGTGAGTAATCTCTAGCTCATGATCCATGCCTTTTGAGGCCCTTACATTATCATTCAAATAAAAGTGAGTTGTTATGATTCTAGTCCAGCAAAAAAAAAAAACCCAATAATTAAGGTAAGAAAAACTAGTACAAAATTCAATTACGCAGTTGAAATTACGAACAACTTAACCCAATATATATATAACTGAAGAAGATTTTGTTAAAATACCGAGTATTCCATATTATAAATTACATGAGGCCCATCTATTAAAATATGGTAGACATACTATATTGGATTTTATTAACATCAATCACTTTAGTCGTGAGAAATGAAAAGATTTTAGCCTATATATGTTGTATGGGACATAAAATTCTAGCAATATAAGTCCATTATGGCGTTATCTAAACCTTTCATAACGAACCAAATAAAAGTTGGATTATTTAATTTATGTAATACTCTATTCAAAAACAACAAAATTGCAACATTTTTTGACAAGAAAATTGTAATACTTAATTGCATAATACTACTACATATAAACATTTAATATATTTTCTAAGTTCCTGTCGAAAAAAAAATATATTTTCTAAGTTAGTACTCCGTATTAATTTGAAAATGCATTATGCATGGTAAAAATATTCATAAAACAACATATGAACATAATTAGTGTTGAATTTAATTTACTCAGTAATATTTATGTAGTCATCATTTTTCTGTACTGTATTAATTTTATTAATCTTTGAATTAAGATCAGGATTTTTTTTAAACCAAATTAATTACACATTGTAATTTTGCATTATCCCCAACCTTAAAAAAAATACAAAACAATAATAATAAAAAAAAAAAAAAAAAAAAAAAAGGCGCGAATGAAATGTAATATACCCCCTGAAAACCCTAACTGCTCAAACCTCGGATCCTCCAAAAGTTTAGTGACAGTTATTCTCCCACTTCTCACTCTCTCTTTCTCTCTCCTCTTCCTCTCTTTCTCTCTCTAGCAGTTTATAGCAGTTACTCCTCTCATTCTCTCTTACTCAACTCTACTCTCTAGTCTTTGCTCAGTCTTTTCTTTCTCTCTTAAATCCCCTGTTTTTCCTCAGCTTAGACAACAAATCTATGGCTTTAGATTGGCAAAATCCTAACTACTTCCTTAACCAATCTTACCCTTTTCACCAATTTCATTTCCAAGATCCTAACAACATTCTTTCACCACCTACTGAAACAGAGCTCCTCTGTTTTGATCCTCTGCCTCCTTCGCTTTTCGACTTCGATGAACCCCTGTTTGATCCCATCCCTTTACAACAGCTTGATTTCAACTATGATTGCAACATTCATAACTGCAATAACAACTTCTCCCCATTCTCATATGTCGATTTCCAGCCTCCAGTGATCGTGCCGGCCGAGGAAATTCTCTCATTCGAGGATAATGATTATTACCCCTCTCAATTCACTACCCCTTTTTACAAGAAACAGAGGGTTTCAGCTCATCTCCCCTGTTTCAATGAATCCTACATTCCTGAAGCTCTCGCGGTGCCGGAGTATAGTGTTGATTATGTGAATGATAATTTCAACAATTCCCACAATTATGGTTACTGTTGCAATGGAAATGAGGGTGGAGCTAATTTTAATGAAGGGTGTGGGAGTAATGGAAATAAGGCGAAGGCGGTATCGGCTCAGAGTAAGGCAGCTAGAGAAAGGAGGAGGAAGATCACTGAGAAAACTCAGGAATTAGGGAAGTTGATTCCTGGAGGTAATAAGATGAATACTGCTGAAATGTTTCAAGCTGCTGCTAAATATGTCAAGTTTATGCAAGCTCAAATGGGAATTCTTCAGTCTATCAAAACATTACAACAGGTAATTTTCATTTGATTTGATTGTATATTACTCATTTTTATTATTTCAGCTCTTTTTTCTTCTGTTTTTTAGCTGATTTTTTTTTTTTTCTATTTCTATTAAAGAATCATGATTTAGTATATTAATTAGGATTTATTATTGCACTATTTTGTTGATATAAAAGCAATATCTAGAATTGCTCCTAGACAAGATTTAAAGGTCACAAACAAGTCGTTCGAATTGATTGGTATGAAGTGTTATGTTATGTTTTTTTCGGATTGAGTCAAGTTGAGTTCTCTTGATGTGTCACGTGTCAATTGAGCACCAACAATGATCGAGTCAAATATTGATTGCAAGAATACAATAATGAGAGTGACTCACTAATATACTTGTATATAATAGTCATGTTATCATATCTTATCAAAACATGTTGAATTGCTCCCCTATTTTTCCTTTCAAAAGTTGCTCTCTTGTAACAATTAATGAAACAAGATTTGTACTAACATGACAGTTTCTTTTGGAACATTATCGATTTAGTAGTTGATTTTGCAAACATTTGTTATCCTTATTTAATTTATTGTCTGTGTTTTTAAGAGATAGATTATTATTATCAGAGTTCTAAAATTGATTTTACATTTCAGCTTCTTTTTTTTTTTTTTTTTTTTTTTTTTTACTAACCTTGGTAGTGCTTTGATTGCTATAGCAGTTATTAGACAAGCTTGTGACCTAAATAAAAATTTGTTACTATCCATTATTTAGCTGTCAAAATTAAAACCACTATTTTAGGCATAATAATAGGAAAACAGTTATTATTTGACTAACTTTTTTTTTTAGGAAGACTAATTTATTTATTTAGTTATTTGTCACTTTTTTATTTTTTATTTTTTTAATTTATAGGCAAGTTACAATATGCTTTGTAAATATTTTGTGAACAACGCAATAGTCTAATCGATGTTGATGAATAGATATTAATGATCAAGATACGACCCCTAGTATGAGTTTATTGAATTTACATGTGTTTGCTGGTGTACACTATAAATCCGTAATCTGAATTGGAATATGTATTTGGATTTGTCAATTTTTGCAGGATAATGACAAAAAGGCCAATTTAAGCAACCTTCCAATTTTGTCATCAAGTATAGTTCAAGAGAAGCTATATGCAAAGGAGCAGTGTTTAGTTCCCTTGGAACTTCTTCCAATACTTGAAGAACATTGTGATGATTATGAGGCAGATCCATCAATTAAACAGCAAATCGAGGATCTTCTCCACTAACAATGTTGTTAATTATACGATGTTGTTTTAGAAGTCCAACATATGTTGCATATATGCCAATTCTAATTTTAGTCACTAATCACCTAATAGGCTAATATGTATTCTTTGCATATTGATTCCCTAGATTAGTTTTTGTTTATATGCTAATATTTTTTGTTGGTCATCGCACAGGGTGTGTTTTTACTACTCCATCAGTTATTTGTTTATTAATTAGGGTTGTTGTAGGTAAAACCGTTGAAATTAGGAATTGTTTTAGAATTTGTTATCATATATTTGTGGTTGTAGCCTTGTAGTTGTATTTGTTTAACTCGTATTAAATAAAATGGTAATTCAATTTTCTATTCTTTATATCATCTCATTTGATCTTGTGGTTGTACTTATATTTGATGTAAAAGAAAGACTAATTGTTGAGATCAGTAGCAATTACAGACTTACAGTTCATGTACATGTTTTATACTTTTTTAAAAAAAAATAAATAAATTTTTTTAAAAAAAATAAAGGGGGGAAAAAAGGTGGTATTGGCTGTCTAGCAAGAACAATGTAAACCACTACATGAAAATTGTATATTACTAATGTTAGTCATGAGTTTATTTTTACATGTAATAATCTTTCCAATGTTGATTAGCATAGTTATTTTTACCCCTAAATGCCATAACAAGTACTCTGTAAATATGTTATAAGTAAAATTTACGAACGAAGAGCAACAAATCAGGAGAAAGATGTTTAATAAGTGAAAATTTGGTGAATTTTTTTTTTTTTTTTTTTTTTTTTAGGAAAAGGTTGGACGAGCATATTATTATGTTAAATCAATTTCCGCCAAAGTAGTAATACTTTGAGGGAAAGGTCCCGTACAAATAAGTTCATCACACACTCCGGTATCCCATCTAGCAATACAATGGGCAACCGTATTACACGCTCGTCTAACATGAGAAAAACTACATGAATCAAAACACAAGTTGTCTAGTCTAACATCTTCGTAAATAAGCTGTATTGGAGTCCATCCAACCGTCTTGCCATGGATGCCTTGGATAGTATTCGCTGCGTCACTCTCAACTGCCAGATTGCGAAACCCAAATCTTCTAGCCAATGTGATCCCATACCTCACAGCCAACCCTTCTGCAATATCAGGAGATGTACAAGGAATTCGACGAGTTCCTGTTAATAAGACCACACCATTCTCATCCCTTAAAACAACACCAAGTCCCACTTGTCTTCCCCTACGCACATGAGCATCAACATTGACTTTTACCACCCCAACAGATGGTCTAATCCAAGCAGCAGCATTACTCACCACATTAGCCCTCTGCATTGCAGGCGCACATATAACGCGTCTTGCATACCCCCTATACTCATCCACCAGCCCAACAAAACCCGCAGCAACACGCATAGCACATGGTCTTTCATTGCAGAAAACATACTTGTTTCTGCAGAACCAGGCTGCCCACATCAGAGCCCCCATAGTGATCAAGTCCTTTGCATTCAATTTATGAGCAAGCCACCTCCACCTCTCCTTAAAAGAGTCAACAGGAGCCCCTTCTAACGGACTCACCAAATCACCATGTTTCCATATTTTCGTTGCAGCCTGATAGTGGAAAAGGGAGTGAATAATGGACTCAACACCATGCCCACATACCTGACACGTTGCTTCAAGAGTTACATGTCTATGTAGCAGCCTTTCTTTGACAGCCAAATTACCCATACAAGAGCTCCAAATGAAGTGTTTTAATTTCGGAGGGCAATCTAACTGCCAAATTCCTTTCCACAAGCTCGCGTCATCATTAGCAGCTTCACTCTCCAAATTAACATCCCCTTTACAGCGGGCCAACCAGTAGCAAGATCTAACGGAAAAAATTCCATTTTTTGTTCGAGACCAGTATAGCATATCAACAGGCATTCTGCTAGATAACGGAGTAGATAAAATTGCAGTACACACATTTGCAGGGAACATACTGCTTATCAAGTCTCTATTCCACTCCCCATTATATTCTGAAATCAGCTCGCTCACCATCATATCCATGTTGCTTGTAGTACTCGGGTTAGGAAAAATAACCTTCTGGTCATTAATGATCCACGGGTCTGACCAAACTTTTACATTGTGGCCATTGCCAACCCTCCATACCAGACCATCACGCAGCAGAGATTTGGCTCCCCAAATACTTCTCCATGAGAAGCTCGGATTATACCCCCTATTAGCATCCAAAACATTCGAATGCTTATAGTATCTAGCCTTTAAAGTGTGATGCAGCAACGTATTCTCATTCATTAGCAACCTCCAAGCCTGTGTTTGCCAATAAAGCCTGATTGAAACACTTTAAATCCCTAAACCCTATTCCCCCCATTGCCTTCGGAAGACACAACTTCTCCCAACTCTGCCAATGAAGTTTCTTCGTATCCTCCCTAGACCCCCACCAAAACCGACAAAAGAGGGTGTGAATTTCATCTAGAAGTCCATCCGGGATCCTAAAAACACTCATCATATATGTAGGAATGGCTTGAGCGACCGATTTGATAAGCACTTCCTTTCTCGGTCTAGATAGCAATTTCTCCTTCCACCCATTTAATTTCTTCCAGATCCGCTCCTTAAGGCACCCAAAGACAACTTTTTTTGATTTACCGATAACAGTTGGTAAACCCAGATATTTCTCATGTCTATCAACCTCCCTTACACCCAAAGTTTCAGTAATCTCCCTTCTCCGATCAACCGGAACACATTTGCTAAACGTTACCTCTGTCTTGTCAAAATTAACTTTCTGACCAGACGCCTTTTCATAACAACTGATTATATCAGCAACAATAGAGCACTCCTGCATAGTAGCTTTAGCAAATAGAAGGCTATCATCGGCAAAGAAAAGATGAGAAACCCTCGGAGCTCCATAACAGACCCTAGCTCCTTTTATTTTTTTATCCCTCGCAGCACGGGATAACAAAGATGAAAAAGCATCAGCACATAGTAAAAACAAGTACGGGGAAATTGGATCCCCTTGTCTGAGTCCTCTCGTCGGATGAACGTCACCTGCTATTACACCATTCACCTTAAAAGAAAATGAGACAATAGCAAGACATTCCATTATTTTACTAATCCAAGAGTCAAAAAACCCGAGCTTCAACATCACTTTCTCCAAAAAAATCCATTCGACTATGTCATAAGCTTTACTCATGTCAAGCTTCAGAGCAATTGATCCATCTCTCCCTTCACCCTTTTTTTTCATAGCATGAAAATTTTCAAAAGCAACCAATGCATTATCCGTAATAAGACGCCCCGGGACAAAAGCACTTTGATTAACTGACACAATATCATTCAACAAAGGTTTTATTTTGTTTGCTAGTGTCTTTGATATTATCTTATATAGCACATTACATCAGCTAATCGGTCTAAAATCTTTCATCTTTTTAGGCTCATCACATTTCGGAATAAGAACAATGCATGTTTTATTTATTTCTGACAAATCAACCCCACCTCTCCACCATTTTTTCACAAACAATATAATATCAGGGCCTACAATATGTTAAAATTTCTGAAAGAATAATGCATGCATACCGTCCGGACCGGGTGATTTGTTCGGATGCATTTGAAACAGGGCTATTTTTATCTCCTCATCACTTGGCTCGGCTTCCAGTCTAGCATTCGACACCTCCGATACTTTAGTCTCAAGACCCGCCAAAGCTTCATCGTAAAGTGATGGATTCTCCGTCTCGAATAAATCAGAGAAATAATCCGAGACAATGTCATGCAACTTCTCTTGTTCCTCCTGCCATACATCATGCTTATCATAGAGTCCATTAACATAATTCCTTTTTTTCCTCTGGTTCGCCTTTCTGTGAAAATAGGACGTATTTTGGCCACCATCCCGTAAATCATTAGCCCTTGATCTTGCAAACCAGTAAGACTCTTCTAGTCGCCTCAGTTCATCAAGTTCAGCAGATAAACCGACACATTTATGCATAGTTTGAGTATCCATCCTGCCAGATTGAGCCTCCCCAAGTTCAGCTTCAACTTTGCGAATTTTCTTCTTTAGCGAGCCAAAAGTAGTATCTGCCCACTTCGTTAGGTCCCTGGAACAATTCAATATGCGCATATGAGGATCAACCCCAACCTCTTTCCTCCACGCATTTGCAACAACCTCACTACACTCCTCCCTTGATAACCACATGGCCTCGAAACGAAAGAGTTTTCCCTTCTTTCCCCTTTCAAAGTAGTTTCCAGCTTCTAACAGGATGGGCGCATGATCAGAGTTCTGGAAAGGTAGGTGCTTCACCTTAAAAGTTGGCATCAAGTTACACCATCCGTCCTCAGCTAAGAATCTATCGAGTCTTTCGCAAATTATTGTTTCAAGCGTATTACCTCTCTGCCAAGTAAATTTATACCCCGAATAGCCCAAATCCCGAAGACAACATTGATCAATTGCCTCCCTAAAACCGTCCTTGCAACGTTCACTACGAGTAGCACCCCCCTCCTTTTCATTATTACTAACAATTTCGTTGAAGTCACCAAACATCAAACACGGCGATGACCCCAAAGAGTGTAAATTCACCATCATCTCCCATGTTCTAAATTTATTCTCCCTTTCCGGCCACCCGTATATGCCTAGAGCCCTCCACAAGACAGTGCCCTCCCCATTAAGAATATTAGCTGCAACATGATGTTTAGAGAATGAGATCAAACTGACATTAATGTCACGCCACCAAAACCCCATGCCACCCGACCTCCCATCACTACTCAAGCAAATTCCATTCTCAAAACCACATCGAGTTTTAATTCTCTCCAAAATACTGCTATGTACTTTTGTCTCTGAAAGGAAGACAATGTTTGGCCTCTCTTTCCAACAAATGTCGCAGAGAGTTCTAACCGTCCATGGGTTGCCAAGCCCATAACGTTCCAGCTTAAGGTTTTCATTGTTTTTCGAGGGCTTGGTTCGACCCAAGACCCTCTACTTGAGAAAAGTTCAGACCAGCGCTGCTTTGTTTCACACCTTTAATTTTCTTCACCTCCTTCTCACCTTCCCCTCCTGCATCACAGCCAATAGAAGAGTCGAGGCATCTTTTCAGATTACCACTCCCCCTCCCTACCAGATTACCTGATACATGATCCATTTTATCCTTCATAATAATATCATTCCTCCTAGCAATTCTCTTCCAACCCCTCTCCCCCTTTTGTGTTTCAGATCCCACATCATGCACTAATACACCCTCATTATCTCCTATTAAATTACTAGTAATTTCCCCCCTGATAAAATCAACATTGTTATCATTATGGTCCCTTACTTCTTCCACTCTACACATACCCCTCTTATCTACCCCATCTTGGTTCACCTCCCTTAC